CTTCTAGTAATTAATGAAAAGAAATGTCAATTCGTATCTCAATGGAAAAATATTTCATTTATTTTTTCAAAGAAGAAAAAAGAGTCATCATCTCGTTTCAAATAAGTTGTAAAATAAGTTCAAGTTGTAAAATAACTTTAATCATTTCAATTCATTTTCAGATTTCTAATCAAAATAATAATAATAATAATCAGATAGCAACATTCATAAAGAGTTATCAACTTTTTTTTTTTTTTGATAAACCAATATGCTTTGATAGAATTTTATAATTTTTAACAGTTTTAAGATTTCGATTCGTACTACCATTACTTCACTTACATTTTTAAAATATTTTTAATACATTCAGTAAGGTAAAGTTGTAATTAGTATTAATAATTATTAATAGTAGTAATGTCCGTTAGATATTTCTTATATCATAAAAATCAATTTATTATTATATCATATAGTAATATTGTGATATGGAAATTTTAATAGTCAAAAAAAAGTCTGTTTACTTACACGTACGTCAAAAATGAATTGTTATTTTGATATATGTTATGGTGGGATAGATGTTTCCCGTTCCATTCTTCTATTTGTTCCGGGATAACCTGTTCTTTTTTTCGTTTTCTCTTGATAGATTGCTATGCACATACTATACATATATACAAATTGACAAAATATTCAATAATACTTAAAACTTATACATTTCTTCCCTATCTATTCATTCCGTTATTATTTTTTTCTTTTACTTATTTTAGATTAAGTTATTATGTTTATTTGAACTATATAAAATAACCTTTTTTTAGAAAAATCAGAGGTACAGTGGCTAACTTTTTTTCCAATTGATGTAATTAATTTCTTCAAAGAATTATATCTAGAAATTAATAATTAAATTTTCTTTTTTTATTTATTTGTATTTCTTATCAATAACTGAATTCCATCATCAGGCAAATTCACTATTTAGCAGACTTATCATATGAAAAACGAATTCATTTTTAATTGTGTAAGGTTATCCCTTTTACAGTTGCAAATTTGGACAAATTTATATGTTAAATGAAGCTATTTTAGTTATTATAATGGAAATTAACGAAATTTCCTGCAAAATTTTCCCTCTTTCTCTCTTTTTAAAATAATAAACCTTCTAAATGCTTTTTTTTTTGTTGTTGAAAACATGAAAGAATAGAACAAAAGCTGAGAAAGGTTATTTGTTAAAGTACCAATCAATCATTTCGTACTATTTTTAAAGAATTCTAACTTCACCTAACAAAAATTTAAGCCTGTACAGCAAAACAGATTAAGTAAATTATTTGTTATTTTAAAAGTAATCGGCAAATTTTTATTTTTTATATTTTCTTGTATTCAAAAATAGTACAAAAGATAAGAAATCATTATAATGAAAAATTTTCACACTAATTTATTCATAGGATTTCTAAATGTAAAAGTGTCATAAAACATAGAATAACATAAAATAGTTATTTTCATAGCCATTTTTTACACTTATTTTTATAAAGTCATTAAAATTATGCTTTTTTAAACTAACGTAAAAGAATATTTTAATGATGTCCTAAATTTCTTATAAATTCTTGTTGATATTATTGCTAATAAAAGAAGAAAAGAGACAATTAATAATTAAAATTATAATCTAATGTATAAAATAAAAAAAGAATAAATGATGAAATTATGTCAAAATTATCAAATTTAACATTGCTGCTATATAATTATGATATGATTGAAAAATCCAATAATATTAAAAATCATTAGTTTTTACTGTGATTTTCTTCTGAGAAATCAGTTTTCTTATCATTATCAACTGGTTTTTTTTTTTTTTTTTTTAATCATTTTGTCTATTAATTTTTGGTAACTAATCTTTTCTTATTTCGATAATCTAATAAGATGAGGAAAAAAAAATGCCAAATTTATAGAATGCAGAATACGGATATGATCCGATCAAGATTTCACTGTTTGTCTTCATTTATTTTTTCTTTTCTTAAAAAAAAAAGAAAAAACGAAGTCATATGAAAATAAACGATTTAAAAAGCTAATAGATTCCTCTGATTGGTCCTTCTTATCGGTTAATGTTCTCAGAAAAACCGGAATTGAGAAATTTCTCACCTGATATTATCCACACTCTTTCATCACACTTGTGCTATTTATTCGATTTTCTATGTTTGGCTATCCATATTCAGTGACTTGATTGTAACATGATATTCTACCGGAATGATTAATATCTTACGGATAAAAATCATTGAACGATTTCGGTAATTCCAGATGATTATTTAATCTATTTTGATGGAAATGACTTGGGAAAAATCTAATTAAATGTCAAACTTTGTTGACTTTACATTTGTCGGTGGTATTATTTTTATCGTTTGAAAAAAATGAAAGCGCTCTTTTTGGGGGGATTCTAAAAGAAAAAAAACATTTGTTGTTATTTTAATATTCTCAAATTCGAATTTTATTCAAAAAAAAAGCTAAATTCCAGTTAATTAATTCGGTTAAATTTTAAAAATATTTTTGAAGAGACATACCTACAATATAACTTGTTTTTTTTTCGTGAATTTTGGAACTTGTTTTTTAAACTAATTGCATTGTTAACTTAAAAATACAATTATTTAATTCAAAACAATTTCAATTTAGGCGATAACACATTTATATGAAAAATTTATTCCACTTGAATTTAAAGTTTTTACTTTCAGTAATGTCTTTTAATTAAGGTTGAGGTAGTAATGATTAACCTGTCACTACCTGGAACTTAATTGAAAAACATTTTTATGTTTAAAAGGAGACAAAATAGAAAAGAAGAAAATGACAATCCTTTCTTCTCTTCGTTTACCTCTTTGCCTCTTTCATCGACTTAAAAGGTTTTGATCGATAAAACATCATCGGAAATAATATATTATTTAAACATAAATAATCTTAACAGTACTTAACTTCATTCTAACTAATTTTTAAATTCTTCATAACAAGTTCAATTCCATACATTAATAAGTCTAAATTTTTCCGCTTCTTCTTTCTTTTCGCCTCTTGAAATTTACCAATGAAAATTCTAAGAAAACAGAGTGAAAAAAAGATGAAAAATAAGTGAGAAAAATAATTTGGTCATTTATCACAATTGATATTACATTTATATTATTTAATAAACATGCATAAGTACCTATGCATCAAATTTATTTATATATTATATTTCCAATTAAAATTATTACTCATTTGGTGTTAAAAAAGACAATTTCAACGAAAATGCCAAAAAATTTTTCCAAAAACAAAATTTGAATTCCAATTTCAAATTTCAGTTCAAATTTCACAAAAAAATGCAATGTTATTTTATGCATGCAAAACTTCTCATTGCTATGTGATGATGAATTATTGAAATTTAAAAACGATTTATTCCGTCTAAATCTAATATTTAGTATTGTTGCAAAGTTATCGTTGTGAATTTCTTCTCTAAAACCTGCAGAACAATTAACAAATATTCTAGAAAACCTTGCAAATAAGAAATGATTTGAAATTTTAAATTAAAATTATTTTAAAAATATACTCATTTTCATTTTTTTTTTTCATTATTACATATTCATTCTTACAAAGCAAATGAAATTATATACTACATTTCTTGTAATAATAAAAAAAATTTTTTTTCGTCAAAATTTCCCAATTTTAAAAGATATTCTATTGCCGTATATTTTCTTATAGTTTAAACAAAAATCAGAAGGACAAATGTGACAAATAATTACTCACACTTTTTCAACTCATTGTTTTTTTTTTTTCCTTTTTCTCCTTCTTTTACAATTAATTAATTAACCAATTGATGCTGTATTTACACACATACAGTTAATATCATTTTTCATTTTATCCTAAACGGAATTTTGTTTTTAAGAAGTAAAAAAAAAAGAAAAAGTTTTGCAAAAAAAAAAAAATATTTTTTTGCAAGGAAATATAATTTATTTATTTTGTAATGGCTGAAATTTATCATCAAAAATTTTGATTGTTTTATAAATTATTCAAACTTCAATTAATTGTTCAAAGATTATAAATAATTTCTATGGCAAAAGAACAAATTATTCCAATCATAGAATTTCCTTCTTTGCGTTATTTTTTCACCGATAATTTGAGAATAAATATTAATGTTAAACAGTAACAAAAAGTTTAAATAAATTTTTGCTTGATTGTAATTTAGGATAATTGTCAAATGATTTACTTATCATATAAATAGTAAACAATATAAATGATTAATATATATATCTAAAATATTCAAGTTACTTTTCAGGCGTAATATTCAATAAATCATTGTTATAATAAAAGTATCTTTTTATTAGTTTTTGAATTACTTTCTTATGAATGTTATTTGTTTAAAACTTCAATAAATTACATTCATTATTACTATTATTACTGTTATTATTATTATGATTTTTAAAATGAATTGAAAACAAAACATTCTTGAACAGTATTTAAGTGCAATATCTATTTTATAATTTAAACCAATATATTGAGCTCTGCAAATTGATCCATTTTATTACAATCTTTGAATAATTTTGATATAATTGTTTTTTCTTAAATCAAACAAAAAAAAAGAAACAACTTTTTTTTTTCTCAGTCTAATTTATTTTTGTTGAATAACTATAAACAATCAATTGAGATTGCAATAAATGATTTAAATTCGATTCAATTTTCTTTTCTTTTCATTTCGATAATCACTGTTTAACTGTCATTTTCAAAAACGACAAATGAATTTTAAAGATAAGATAAAACTGCGCAAGATGCAATCATAATTAATCGCTTTTCAAAAAAAAAAAAAAACATGCATCGAAATCATTGCAAACATTTGTTGTTTTCATTTTTTTTCCTTACTGCTATGAGAAATAGTTTATTCTATTTTTACCTTCCAAACTTTTGCATATTTATTAATTTTGCTTCATTATGCGATACAGTTTTATCGACTTCTAATTTTTCTCATTGCTAATACCTGCGACCGATTATTCTTTCTTTTTTTTAAAATAATTATTCATTTAATTTAAGGGTTATCAACAATGAAAAAACAAATATCTATCACAGTTATTACAATATTTTTACTATTTGCCATTTCATCTGCTCAACAAGAAAGTAAACAACGTTAGTTATTTAAATTTGAAGGAAAAATTTAGATTTTTCGTTAGAATAATAAATTGTGTATTAACTGATTTTGTTTCAAAACTATTTCATATGTTATAAAATGTATGAGTTTTGTACTTAGCCTTTGCTTATAATCAGTAAATAGCACTAAAAAATTTTAATGCTGCAAAAATAATGGCAAATAATTTTATTCTTTCATATAGCATCACTGTTAACATTAAATCAATATATTAAAAATTTAGAAATGATTTATAATTTCCATATTACGCAGAATTATATGGAAGTAATTTTTTGTTTTAAAATATTTACCAAAATATCGAATTCTGAACGTTAGAAATAATTTTCATTTCAGAAAATTTAAAATTTTTGAAAATATAACACTCTTGAGAAGCAATAATATGTATATAATGCATGAATGTTTGTTGTTAGGATTCAAAAATACAAATAAATTAGTATTTTTTCAAAATTTTTTTGATAAAATATTAAAAAAAATTTAAAAAATCTTTGATAATTTATTCTTAGTTTCTTCAATTTTGCGAAGAACTTTATCATTTGTAAAAGATAATATTGCCTTATCATTTCAGCAGATGATTCATTATTGATAAGTGAAATCAGATCAAACAGAGCGTATAGACAAGCGATTCTGCATCAAAAAGTAGGCATTTATTGGCTTTTTTTTTTTAATTTCTATAAATTTTTGTATAAAATTTACCAAATACTATTGGAATGCAAATAATTAATTCAAATTTTCATAAATGAAAATTTTTTACTAATTAAGGATTAATGAATTATTTTATAGTTCACATATGAAATATTTGTTAAAGTGAGCTGTAAATATCTATAATCTGATAATTTTGTATTAGTGATTGAAGGCAATAATAATGTCTTTTAGGATAATGTCATCAAATTACCTAACCATAAGGTTACCACCGCTCATTATGTGAACTTATCCAAATCCATGGCTGAAGTACCATCCAGTGATGCCGTGGTTAAAGTGTATGGAGAAGCAAATCCAAGTAAAACGGATGAAGAATTATTGGATGTTGAAACAAATACACAAATTGTGTATGACAGCGATCATACATCATCAATGCCATCATCTGATCAAAGTATTCACCATTTATCGATAAGCGGTTATGGGGCACCGGCAGAAGAAACGGAAACGGCAGAGACGGATCAACAAGCTGAAGTCATTACGGAAATGAAAGCATCAATGCCTCCTGCTATTGAGGATCCATATGGCGGTGGTGGTAGTGGTGCTGACGGTAATGCAGTTCTGACTGAAGCAGAACAGCAAGCGATCACTGCGGAAAACCCGTCGACAACAAGCAGAGAAGAAGGAAGTTCTTCTATCACAAATACTGAACAAGCTATTATACCAAACAAAGAATCTACAAACATTACGGAATCTGAAGAAACATTTAGGGAATCAGGAGAAAGCGCAACTGAATCAAGTATGAGTGATGCTAAAGTGACAGAAAGTGTCAAGAAAGCATGTGCGGAAGATTGTGAAGTATCTACGGAAGGGTCAGTGGGAATAGATAAAGGATCTACTGAAGCAATTGTTGAACTAAGCCAGACTTCTAGTGGTAGTCAAGAAGACAGTATAGTATCATCAACAGGTGACAGCATAGAAGGTTACAGAGGTAGTAGCAAACAATTTGAGAGTAAGAGCAACGGTACTGAAGCTGTTGGCATGTCAACATCTGAAAGCGAGAAGACAGAATCAGCACCTGAAGGGTATGGCGCAGTACCGGAAACTGTCAGAAGCGAAGTACCACTGAAAACAGAAGTAGAAAGTATTTCCAGTGGGAGCATTGAAATTACACTATCCGAATCAACTATGGAATCATCCACTTATAATAACATTACGCATACACAAACAAAAGCGGTCGATATGCAAACCGAGGCGGAAGATTTTGGTTATGGAGTGATTTCTGAAACTATAAAAGAGCAATCGAGTCAAGAAAATCAAGAAAGTGTTACTAGAATTGAAACTGCTACGCATCAAAGTTTAGATCAGACAACTGCGCTTGAGACAGAAATGAGTTCCAACCAATCCGACTTAGCAACAAACTCTGCGGAAGTCACAAGTGAATTATTCACTTCACCTATAACTAGTAGTACTACAGCGGATACTTCCTATATTATAACTGAAGGAACAGCTATCGCAAAGGTAGAAAGTTCTCCAGTCATTGAATCAACAGAAAGTATTTCAGGTTATGAAATTCATAATGAACCTCAAGATACCGTAACAGTCATTAAAGTAGATTTACCGGGATTAAACAAAGAATCAGCATCTCATTTGTCAAAATCGATTGAGGAAGCAACTGCATTGTCCAGTACTAGTATGGAAACCGGAATGGCAAGCGAAAAAGCCACGATAGTATTGGCTGGTACAGTAAGCAAAGGACCAGAAGACTTGAAAGATTCCACAGAATCTAGCATACGAGTAAATGAAACGACAGGATTTTTCAGGGAAGCAACTCTTACGTCTACTGAAAAACTACCAGAATATAGTACAGTAGCATCAGAATATATTACGGATTCAACGTACCAGAAAAAAGAAACTATAGAATTGCAGAAAACAAGTGAGAAAATTAAAGTATCATCTTCAGCACCATATGATGTTGAAAAAATACCTGGAGATTTATTAACAACATCAGATGGAGCAGTTGTAACTTCTGAAGCTTCTGAGTATCAAACAGCCACAAAATTAGAAGGACTAATGGCAGTGGAAGAAACAACTGAAATATCAAAATCTGATGAAGGATTAGTAGGATATGGTGATATAGGTGAGAGTGAACAGGTATCAAGTAAGGGAAGTCAGGAAGGATCAGGAATTATTGCCACAGAAACACTTGAAGGAACTACAAAACGAAGTGAATTGCTAGATGAAGAAATTTCAACTAATGATGCAACAACGACATTTATTGAACAACCAAAGGCAATTTCAAATGAGATGGTTATACCTGATGAAGCCACAGGATCTCAGGAACAACCGATAGGATATGAAGGATTAGCATTAACTGCTGATACTGGTAGATCTGAAGAAGCACAGCTCAATCAAACTATAACTAATGAAGAGCAAGCAACAGGGTATGAATTAAGTGTATCTAGTCAAAGTGTTGCCACTTCTGAAGTTGATATTACAACTGACAAAGTTGTGGCTGTCACAGAAAGTACATCAACTGCTCAAAGTGAACGCGCAATTATCCGAACTAGTCCGGAAGATTTTGGTTATGGTGGTGCTGTAGAAGAAGGAATTACTGAGAGAGAACATGTCGGTAGCAATATTGCAGTAAATTCAGCATCTACCATAAGTATCGAAGAAACAATGGAAAATTCAAATTTAAGCCAGCAGTATTCAGAATTAAGTGGAAGTGCGGAAGCTAGTAAATCTAGTGAAGGAGAAGCTGTTTATCTCAAAAGTACTAGCATGGCGGAACAGTCTGCAAGTGGAGAAGCAACGACAGCGAGTAAAAGTATTGGTAGTGCACCAGGATACGATGTTAGTGTTTCGGATTATTATCCTACAACTGAAGAGATAATTAATGAATTATCAGGATCAGATGAAAAATTAACCGAACAACAGGAAATTGCAGAAATTACATCATCTTTAAAACCGGAAACTAGTGAAAGAATATCAGTAGTAAATGAAGAAACTAGAAACTTTGTAAGCATCACAGAATCAGCAGCTGATGGCTATAGAGTTTCTGCAGAAGAAAAATTCACAGAAACTCCAATTAGTGAAACAATATCAATTCAAGCAGAATCTAATAAAATCTCAACAGATGCAGATGATTTCGGTTACGGTGGAAGACTTGAAGAGGTAACAGAAGCGGAAACTTTAGTGACAACAGCTGAATCTATCGTCACAACACAAGGAATGCAATTTACTGATGAAACAAAAAGTGAAACCATCCAGCAACCTTCAGCAATAGAAACTTCATCAATGGAACGTACTACAAAACTTGAAACAAGTTCTGCAATTGAAAGCACTGAAATTTCTTCACAATATCCTGTTGCTGATAGAGGAGACACTATGACATCTTTAGAAAAAAATAATGAAATCATAGAAACTGACAAATTTTCAGAAATCGTTGAATCTACTGTTCCTAGTCAAGCAGCTAAGATGGAAAGCACATTAATGGATGTAATAACGAATGAAGAAGAAACGCCGATACCCTATGGTATAAGTGAAGAAGCTCTAAAACTAATTACAATGACAAAGAAAACGGAAACGGGTCTTTCAAAGCTAACCGGTGCTACAGTTGCTGTAACGGAAGAAGCAAAAGAAGAAAGTGAAATGACTGATACAGAAACCACAAAAGAATCTCATTTAGCAATTGAAAGTGTTAAATCTGAAAAAACATTAGGTGAAGTAAGAAATGAAATGGACAGTATGTCATCAGAAACTACTTCAGAAAATACTGCATCTGAGTTTTATGAAGCTAAAATACCTATGGGTCCTGAAGATTTTGGATATGGAAGTGAAAAAGAACTGAGTACTGAATTGATATCATCAAGTGCAGAATCAGTGACGACAATAAGGTCAGAGTTATCATCTAATGCTGATCAAACTTCCATTGCTCCGGAATTATCAGTTAGCAATGAATACGCAAATTTTGGAATGTCAAAAGCGCCCGAATATGAAAGCAGTGAAAAATTGCTGAGTGCAACTGTTCCTTCAGTTACATCAAATGCTTTAACTGAATCATTTACTATAATTCAAAAAGAAAGTGTTACAAGAGAAGATGAAAGAAGTATGCCGACTACAAAAGTTTCCGGAAATGATGATAATAAAACAGAATTAAGCAATGCGGTATCCACTTCAACTGCTATTTCAGAAGGTAATTTTTTGACTTTTCTCTCCCATCGATTTTTTGTCATTTGTTTCCTATTTCCGTTCCAATTATCTTATATATATATGTAAAAGTATGACAATAACTCTAAACTCATGGTTAGCTATAATTTGTGTGCTAATTCGAGATACAATTAACAAGTGTTTCTGATTTAAATTTGTTTTCAGAATAAGAAATTTTTTTGAGTTTTCTCAAAAAAAAAAAGAAATTTTGTAGTGTAATCGCATTTTTTTCTCTTCAAAAAAAAGAGCTTAGAATATAAGTTATCAATCTTTTTAATTGACTTTTTAATCAATTAATTCAAATAATTCTAATGCTCCAGAAAAGAAGCAAGATGATCACTCAGATGTGCCAAACGCAGGTATTTTTTAATTTTTCTCAAAATTTTACTGCAAAAGAAAATTTTTTCGATTAAAAATAATTCGTTAAAAGTGATTAAAAGTATTATCTGTAAGCTATAAATATTCTATAAACAGATTAAAAAAATTCTAATTTTTCTTTTTGATTTTACAACAAGATTATCATTCATTTCAAAATTTAGGTACTTTAAGCATTTAGATTTAAATTCTCAGTTTAAACTGTCTAGAGCATTGCTTAATTTTGTATACAATTTGATGTATCAAATTTTAGTATTATCAAGCATACAATCGAAGCAAACTGGTAACTCAGCAAAACGGAAATGTAAGTTTTTTTTTTGATGCCTCATTTTTACATTAATGAAATGAAAATTATTCAATGAAAAAAGAATGAACGGCGATATAACGAGAAGAAATATCAGAATAAACTAAAAAATTCAATTATTAATTAGTCAAAAACAAATTTTTTTGAGTTTTCTCAAGGTATTTTCGATATTATGAAAAGCGCTCTATCCGTTTCAATTAATTTTAAGATGAATGTGTCTAAGCATTTATTTCCGGTTTTAATAAACCATACAAGTTATATGTCTAACAGTTTTTATAAGAAATCCAAAATTGACCGTTATAGAAATTAGTTTTTCTTTTCCTTTACCAAATTACTAATAAAAAAATAAAAGAACACTTGACTTCTTTAAATTTTTAAAATATTTTCTTCAATAATATTTTAGCACAATTTTATGACTTAGTAATGTTTCATTTAGTGAATGGTTTAGTTGTAAGGCGTAAAGATTTGCAAATAAAATGCTTAAAAAAGTTAATTAGATTAACAAATAAAGTAATACAAAGTTAATTTGAGTTTTTACTATCTAACATAGAATACATTGGCATTGCGCTTGTTTGACTGTTTACTGCGAGAATCAAACATTCCGCAGCGGTCATATGACCTTTTGGCGGAACGGAACAGAACGGAATTTGCAATAATATCCGTCAAAACCATTTTATTTAATTAATATGTAGCGGCAGATGATAATTTGCTTAAACTTTACTGTTCAATATGAATATGTTCCGTTGTCACTTTTTTAATTAATTAATTGCTTGGTTCATTAATTATTCAAATCAGTTGAAATCAATATTTTTTAAATAATCTCAATTATTAAATTTTTCAAATTATTAATTATTAAATTTATTAAATTTATTAAATTTCTCAAATTTATTAAATTTCTCAATTATTAAATTTTTCTCAATTATTAAAAAAATAAATTATTAAATTTCTCAATTATTAAATTTTTCAAAATTATAAAGTAATTCCATAGCTATTTCATATCATTCAAATTAAAATAATTTCAGGGAGACCATTCACTATAAACTGTGACACGGAAGTGGACGAAAAAGGTGATCTTTGTCGAGAATGGGCTAAAGCTGACCTTTGTGACACACATCGGCCAACAATGTTTCTTTTTTGTAGGCGGACATGTCTATGTATTGGACCGCCAACAGATGCGCCAATATAACTAAAACACTAGGGATTCTAATTTTATAATAGAAAGATTATTTTTTGCCACTTCATTCAAAATCGCGTTGCTAATTTCGACAATTCTCAAAATTTGCTTGAATTTTTTCAATAAAATCGAATCAAATAATTATTCAATTTTTTGCATTTTATTTTCCAATTTTTTAAATGATCCCATCATATCATTTTTAAACTTTATCTTTAAAATATTTCATTCATTCATATGATTATTTCCGGAAATTTTTTATCCAATTTGGTTAAGAAAAAATATAAATCATTTTATGCTATTTTGAAGCGACAATTATTCATATCAATTCTATACGGTTTTTTTTTTCAATTTCTAGTTAGAATTGTTTTTAGAAATTTTTGAATATTTCCTTCAAAGTTTTACCTTTTTGAAAAAAAGTAATTTTAAATTAATTACAGATAAAATAGAAATTGTGAAATTTTTGCAACTTGATGTTTAATGCAACAATTAATTTATAAATTCAATGAATATCATTGAATTTATAAATTAATTGTTGCATTAAAACAAACATTACTTATACTGTCATTAATTTCACACAAATATGTTTAATTGTGATTGTATTTCTTCGAATTTATTGAAAAATATTAAAATTGACATTATGCAATAAATACTCCAATGACTTACTTTTACATCTCGCTTATATCGTAACAGGAAGGTCTCAACAATTTAGAAATTCAAGCGGTTAAATTTTTGAAAAAAATCCGGGAAAGGTTTATGTGAGTTAATTACGGTAGAAAAAAACATACTTTACCAATAGTTTTTTTTTTTCCATTTTGAAAACTTAGTAAAATACTGAACAAACTTTGTCGAATTATTTTTAATAATTTAATGGATTAAAAATTGTTCGAATAAATGGAATGAATTTAAATTTTGTCGAAAACTAATTTACAATTAAGGACACAGCTGTTGATAAGATCAATAGATTATCATTCATCAATGATATAAATGCATATGAGTCGCGTCATCCTTATCATTAAAATTATTCCACATCAGATCATATACTGAGGATACATATATATATATATATATATATATGGGTCGTAGCATCCTTATCATTCAACTGATATAATATCACCATGTGGATCTTAACAATATCCATCCTAACATTAAGTTTGTTTTTATCACTTTTTATTGAGCAATTAATTTTCCGTTCATTTTTTGATTTAAATTTAAGGTAGTAATTAAAACTGTTCTATATGAAGTGTAAAATATTATATGAAGTAGTATTTACAATTTCAGTACAATTACTCACAAAACAGCACGAACAACAAATAAGGTATGTATTTTGATTAGTAATTTATTATTCGAGAAAACTGGCTTAATTGATTTTGTGAATTAAGAAATGAAAAAAAATTAAGCTTAATTGATTTTGAAAACGAGAATATGTTTGCAGCCAAAACTACAATGTCTCAATTTATACAAATCAACAAATGGGAAAAAGTTAGTTCTATTTTTTACTTTTAAAATAATATATACAAAGATCTAACAAATTATATTATCCGCCAAATAATTCTCAATGAATTTATTATTGATTAAGAAAAAGCAATGTTATTTACATAATCAGTGAGTCAGTTGTGAAAGTAAGAAAATAGATTTTCGATAAATAAATTTCTTTTTTAACTTTTATAGAACATTGCAGATTTCATAGCATTGCGTTCTTTAATATAAATTTCGAAATTCACTTCAATTTCTAAGCAACATTAATATTCAAAAAATTATTTAGCATCAACAGATGAATTGCCAAAAGCTTGGAGTTTGTCAAAAGCACAGAAGATGAAACAGGCAAGCAATAAAAAAGCAATCTATGATCACAATTTCCGGGAATCAAAGCAATCAGTGATAAAATGGAAACCGGTAAAAATGATGACGAAACCTCCAATGATACTGTCAATGAGACCATCTACGATTCCAGCTAAAGCATCACTTTCATCCATTATTCACGATATGCCAAATCCTGTCAAACAACGTCGTCGTCCAATAAAATCAGGAAACTGGTTTGATCAATCTCCCGACATATTATCATTTACAGCACCACAGTATCAACATATCCAGAATATCTATCCATTCTCACCGGAAATCCCTTTGTTTCCATTTCATATTCCATATCCAGTATCAGCACCTTTTATGCCGGAATCTTTGTTTCAATCGATCAATCATCAGTCATTAATTTTGCCGACATCAACAGTGTCTACTGCAGTGACAACTACAAGAAGCACTGCGACACTACCTTTACCAGTATTTCCCACTCTCGCGATGCATCCAGAATTTCAGAATCTGACTGTTACACCAAAAAAACTGAAGCAGAAGATGGTAAATAGCAACAGAAGGTATAATTGTGATGAAGATTTTGATGATGATGATGACAATTCAAGAAGTAATTTCAGAATGAAATTCGATTAAACTTCCACAGGTATTCATTCATATTTATTATAGTTATTGGAGAATGTTGAAAAGTCTTATTGAATTTTCTGAACGTCTTTCTTGACTTTATCAAGAAAAGTGATATTTTCTGTTAATTCATTTTTGGCAGGCAGTGTATCTATTTAAGTTGTTAAGTATAAATTTAAGTATAATATTTAATTTTCATTTATGTCATCTTTACTGATTAATTTTAATACTTCTTGAACAATTTTCTTTTATTTAATCAATTCGAGTTATGTCGTATTTTTGATAGATATTAAAATTTTTTTCGATGAGAAAACATAACTACTACTCATTTCATGAAGAATTTGATATCAATTATTGCTAAAATATTGAGAAGTTGATAAGAAAAAGTTTTACAGCAAAATGACATCAATCAAGATACAAGTTGCAGTAAGAAAATGAAGATTCGATAACATCAGCGTTAGCAAAATATGTGGAATATAGAGAAGATGAACTGATAGATGGAAAATTCCAGTGGAAGATTCCCGGAAATCATTTTGATTTTCTATAATACTTTTTTGGCAATAATTATTCATTTAAATTTGAATTTGAAAGATTTAATATTTTGCATTTTTCTTGATATCCAATTTTTTTTTTTTTTCATACACAAAACAATATGATTAATTATCACATTTATTGTTATTATTATTGCTTATACAAATCAAATTTACATAAAATTTAAAAACTTTTCAAATTAAAAATTATGTTTGATAAATTAAGTTATTCATTTATTATCAGCATAATCACATATGTCTATCACTATCATCATTATCATATTAGCTATTATGCTTAATAGCTCGACGATATTTGTATGTCCAACGTTCTTTCTTATTCTCATCAACAGATATATCAAAAATGATAGGATTATTTACTAATTGTAATCGATCATCTACCAAAGAACAATTTACAAATTTTGTATAACCATCCGTTGTACAGCCATATCCTAAAACAAATACTTTATAAATGTAAAATTATTACTTATTTTTCATATGTCAACAGATTCGCATTTATTATATACATATATATGTGACTTAATATCCGTTAAATTAAAACTATAAGTTAATATCATCAAATGCAGTATTATATAACAATAATTTTATAATATTAACATTCTACCATACATTTCATAGTCACTGATTTTAATTTTAAAATTAAAAAAAAAAATGAATTCATTCAGCTCAGTTTCATCTACTAGCATTTGAAAAGTAGTTGGATTAGTAATAGTATGCTAAGTGCCATATTTTTGACAGAGAAAAATAAAAAACTACTGTTAAAAGATAGTTTTCTTCATTTATTATTTGAAAAAAAAAAAAAAAAAAAACCTGAATGAATATGACCGAAAATATGATACTTTGGTCGAATACGTTTGACTACAGAATTCAGTAATTCGACACATCCGACATGTTCCCCTGTTGATAATATATCACCGTGTCCTAGAAAAAAAAGCAAAAATTTTAAGGTCATCATTATAAAATACATCTACTACTGATTAAAACGATAACAAATGATAATTGTAATTTTCAGAACAATTTTCATCTTCTCAGTAAGTAAAGAATAGTAAATAAATTTAATTGAAAAAGAAAAAAGGTTCATCTGTGATAATTTGTTGATGTTAAAAAATTTAAAATAACAAAAATTGTTTAAATGCTGAAATGATGAAAGGAAAACTGCAAAAAATCAATAATGGCAAGAATTTTCATTTCTTATTACAACCAATAACATTTTATAGTGATGAAATCAGTTATAATTGAAATCGTTCAATCAATCATTAGCTAAGACAACCTAGCGGTGGCGTATGAGTGATGAGAACATCGATGCCAGCGGGTATGTCATTCCATTTATCAAGTAAAGCTTGCCCACGAGGCAGGTTAAAAGCCATATCATCGTATTCTGGTAGCCTAAAATTTCATCTCACGTCGATAATTCTTGAATTCAAAAAGAGAAAATTGAAACAAGAATGCTAACTTACAGATGAAGCAAAGATTCATTTTCACAACTTATGATATTTTCCTGAACTTATTAAAACATTAAACTTATCTGTCTAATCGATACTCTCTTCAGTATACAGTTGATTATGATGATAAACGAAGATCAAAGTAATATCATTAAGAAAAGAGGGAATATTTAAATTTCAAAAAAAAATTTCAAAGCTATTTCAATCACTTTCCTCATTTCATCATTACTTTCAAAAATTTAACCATTAATTATTAAATAAAAATACCAAAATAATTATTCATAATGTAATTAAATAAATAAAAAATGAATTATTTGTGCTTCGCTAATTTAATAACACATCTCATAAATATAATAATTAATTATGAAATGTTAAAATGAATAGACAAAGTGTTTAAATGCTGTAATGATATAATCGATTAGTCAATTGAAATGAAATATTAACCATGGCGTTCCATAAATTCGAATACCAAATAGTTCCGAAGAACTATCTTCTAAATAAATTACATTTTCCAATTTCGCTTTAGCATTTTTCATTTCTTGCAATGAAAATTCATTGCTAAGTGTTTGTTTCACAGCTAATTTCTTCTCACCAAATTTACTTCCTAAAAAACAAATTTAAATATTACTTTTCATGCTTCTAATATAATTCTGGTATAAATGAAATTTTCTTTGTAATTATTTGAACTACATTGAATAAATTAAGATGAAGTTAAATCATGATTATCTACTTCAGAAATTATCAGGGAAAACATATTGCGTTAGTATTACTGTAATGAATAAATTTAAACAAGAAATAATCCTAATTATATAAATTGAAATCCTAATTATCTTTCTCTTACATTGAAACTTATCAGAGATATTTCGAACAATGATAAGCATTTGTTAAGCTAATGATAAATTAATTATGAATGAGTCATTTGTTATAATTTGAAGTATTTGAAACCTAAATCTTACCGTGAGCTTTCATGAAACGATCATCGAAAGTATATTCGTGATTACCAGCTATTACCACTTTAAGAGTATGTGGAAGTTGTTCTGTAAAGAAATTAAAAAAATTCTTTAAATATATTTTGGAATATTTTAAATTTAAAATATTCCATGTCACGCATGAAGCACACTAACTATTTTATATGAGTTTGATTTGTGCGACTTTTTAAAATTATCCATCTTGTTTTAGTTTCAAATTTCTGATTCAAATTTAAATTTATAATTTATTTGAATAATAAAATGGGTAAGCATTTAGTACATTTTTGTGAATTGTTCATCGATCATTGCTAAATTTGAAGTATTAAATTTGAAATAAATTACTTTTAGAAGAGCTAAAAATTTATTAAACGGAAAATATATAAAGTATTTTGTGGTGAAATTAAACTTAACTATGTTATTAGCTAAACAGGTGCTTAAGACTTCGGGTGGCGGCGGTAACTTCAGCGTGCGATAATTATAGAAATTATTGAGAGGACGCGGATAATTTTTTGGGTTTGTCATTTTGCATTTGCATTATAATTACAAATCATTTAATATAACATTATTAATTTATAATTTATGGAAGTACATTATTTAAGTGCAGTTTAAATGTAATTTAAAAATTTCAAAAATTTTTGCTATAGTTTAAAAACTTGAACTATTGGCAAAAATAATTACAAATTATTCAGTTATTGTCGTTAATCTGCAATTTGTGGAATCAATTTAAATTGCTTGAATTTACTTAAAATGTTTGCTTGTTGGATTATACAATTACTGTGCTTTGTTGAAAACAGTAAATGAAAAAGTTAAATTTTTGTGATGTTTGTTAATTTACTTACTTAAATATTTACTAAAAAGTTCAACTTCATCTGGCCGACCGTACAATGTAAAATCTCCTGCAACTATGAGTATATCACCGGGCGGAATAAATTGCGGATCCGGAAATGACTGATGAATACAAGCCATACAGACAAATCGGACAGCATCATGTCTTATTGGTGTACTCAATTTCATCTGAAGATTTCATTTTAATTTTAGTTAGTGAAAAAATAAAAACTTGCAGACATTATGAGAGAATCCTTTTCTCATCTGTTTCTTCCCTCGCTCTTATAATAAATTTCAGTTAAAAATCAAAGTTTTGAAAACAAAACTTCTTAAATTTTTAACAATTTTACAACTAATCAAGAAAGTAAACATTTGTCTGTCTCTTGCCTGTCTCACCGCCTTCACAGGACGATTATTTTTAATCATTTCCCAAGCTATTAGTGGATCATCGGTGTATTTATGCGGAGTAATCTGCAACAATAGCATTTTAAAAATAAGTAAAGTAAACATTTTCACAAATCAATCATTTATTATTAAACTTATTATACTAATTATTAGAAAAATGTTAAGTGAATTCAAAATAACAATCTTTTAGAAATTCTTATTTTTAAAAAAAAAGAAGAGATTTATGATTTTTAAAAAATTTTAAAATTCCTAATGGCTCACTTCTGCTGTAGTATTTGAACGTCGTTTTTGTTTGGATAGAGATCGTTGTTGTTTTCGAGACTGGACGATATTTAGAGGTTCATAGTAAGGTGATGGAGTTCGCTCATTATCCAATCTTGTTTTTTCCAATTCTTCCCTTAATTGCAAAACAAGCGGAGAAGTCTCTGAAAAATAATTACTGAAAAAAAAAAAAAAAAAACAATTGAGAATATTTAAGATAACAGAATATCAAAGAGTAAAATAAATAAATAAGTAAAAATATAAAACTTTAAATTCTTAAAGCATTCTAGGAAATAAAGCCTATTTTTAGCCAACTTAATATTTATGAAATATATTTAAAAGTATCATTTAATCTTTTTATTAATTGAAAAATTTTTTCTAAATACTTGAAAATATATGAGTAATTAAAGCTAAATTGTAAATTTTACTTATCAGCAAGACTAATATAAGAAATAAAAATAGGATAAATCTTTAAACCATTTTCATTTCTTTCACTACAGCCTGGTTCAGCAGTTTCACAGGTGCGTGGACAACATTCACGTGAATTCCTGGTAGTTATGAGAGGTGCTGATTTGCGCCGTTCTTTTGGTTTTGTTAATGCCTAAAGGATTTGATAAAATATGATCTAAACAAATTTACCAAAATTTTGCTTTTTTTTTTTCATCTTTTTCATTATTTTCTTTCATTAATTTTAAATGATTAAAGGAGAAATAATATTTTAGCCAAATAAAAAAGATTTTAAAACATTAGAACATAAAAATTGCACAAATTATATTCATTAATCTTGTTCAAACATTTTCATTTTCAGTTTTTTTTTTCTTCAATCTTACAATTGTGTTAACAAAACGCTTCAATCAATTAACAGCTGCTAGCAAAAATTTTAAATATGATTAAAAGATTTTAGAATTATTATTCTGACAAATGAAACATAAAATCAAAATCCAAGAAAAAAAAATTTGTGAAAAGTTTTTATTTGAAATTATAAGCACACAAGTGTGGCATAATATTTATTTTGACAATTTAATAATTTTTTTAGAATTATGAAAAATCTGAATGAGTTCATTTAATGATAAGTGTGATTTGAGGTCCACAATCTTTATGAAAACTTTATTCCTACCTTTCACACTTTCATCATCAAGAAATACTTCTGAAATTAATTTCAACATTGAGATATAGATGAAGCGAAATTGTCGAGCAGTTGTTTAAAATGTGTAATAGCGAGGAAAATGAGAGAGACAGTCTTTAAATTGCAATTTGAACTGCTCATTTGTACTAAGACAAGAAAAAATGTGTTATAGAAGGATAAAATTTTCTTCGAATTTAAAATTTGTTAATTAGAATATAAAATCCAAAAATGATATATTTTCCAATTTCAGTTTTAAATTTTCAAATTAGAAAAGGAACTGATGCTTTTTCTTACATTCCTTAATTTATTTTTTGAAGAAAAAGAAAATTAAATAATTAAACAAACAAACCAGGAACATAATCGATGTTGGTTATTAGCGCTTGATTTACACCAATTTTTTTCTTTTGTTTATTTCCAATGCTTAAAATTTATCTAAATTTAGCATAATGTCAAAAATTTTCATTTGGAAAAAATTCATTCGAGGAAATGCATGTGAAGTAGGCATTATTAATAAAAAAACAAGTAAAATTTGGAAAATAAAATATATGAATTGAGGTATTTTATGTTAAAAAAGTTTTACAAACTTGTTGCATAGAATCAAATTCAAATTTAAAGATTCAAATTCAATAGGAACTGTTCGATTCAGAACCTTTCACCGCACTCAGTTCAGGAAAAATTTGTCACACTGTCACATTGAAGAATTGAGGTAAATTGAGAGGAGGGAGGGAGATATGGGCTGATTTTTGCAAGTGGATTAAAACTTGGGGCTTTTCACAAAAACAAAAAAGGTGAGAGTATGAAATATGCGATTTTTCGGTATTAAAAAGACAATTAAAACAAGTGTTAATTAATATTAATTTAATTGCTGAGATATATAAACTTGTCTGTTATAACAAATAAAATTGAAAAAGAATGCTATTTTTATCTTTGATACATGAATCATCAACACGTGATCGTTGTACTAAAGCAAGAACGTCAAGTAGAATCATTCAGAAGTATTTGACAAGCTTAAAAATCAGTTACTGTACTATAACCAATTTAATTAAAATGTTAAATAAACTGTTAATTTAATTAGTAAATTAATATAGGATTGTTTAAAAAAGCAATGTAATATGAGTAAAAAGAATTTTAATTTACAATTTCATAAATTTGCTAAAACTATAAATTAATTCCTTCAACACAAGAAGTTTAATGCAATATAAAGTTAAAATAACCTAACACTAAAGTTTATCATTTTAAATACTTCAAAAGAAAAATCCTTCTCTATTCTATCTTACAATTTGCTTTACTTCTATCTGTGACTGTGAGAAGTGAAAATCTAGCATCAAACTGAGTGAATTTGTATGGGAAGAAGAAGAGTTGAGCTAACTTATTGTTACTTTAGATAAAATACTTCTCTCACTAATCTATTCATTCACATTAATCAAATATTTTCACTTTTTCTTGCACATTACTTTAAAAAAAAAAAAAGAAAAATTTTGTAATTCATTCGACATTCTTTAGTATATGAAAAATAAGGGATGCTAAAGAAATTTCGAAAAATTGTTAAAATTAATTATCATATAAAGTTAAGTTTTGGAAGGAAAAAAAAATGAACCACAAACATGAGCTACCATTTATTTCATTTGAGGGATGTCTAACATTCTATCCGATCTCTTTAAACTAACAGATCAAAGTCCAAGTTGCTGATTGAATAGAATGAAAAATGAACGATTGGTTCAACAATTTATATTACACTTTCAATTTCATGCTTTTTTCACGCTTTTAATAATATAAATATGTGAAAAAATGTCAGGAAAAAAAAATTTCCGATTATTTCTGCTATCATTAATATAGTTCAACACTGAAAGCTAAATATTTCAAACAGATTTTAAAGAAGCTGATCAGATTGAGAAAAATATTTTAGAATTTTAGCACAGAATAATAACTTGCAGTAATTCATCATTTCATAACGATATTATACAATTGTTTACACCATTTATCTCCTGGAGTTTATAGTTTTATGATTATTTTAGAATTACCATTAGATTAAGCAGTAAATAATTTGGCATGCAGGTTTAAAATAGTAGACTCTTAAAAACCTGGACTTATTTCATATTTTCCCATAGAAATAAATTGTGATTAACGAGGAAACGTTTCACTCCCACAAATCCTATACTCCAATTAAATCAAATGCATGCTTGGTGACCACCACAGAAATCATGGCCAGATTCTCTTCAGTGAGAAATAAACTCGCTTATTCGTTGAATTTCTTTGGCATTCAGTTTTTGAAATTATCCTCTGTATTCATTAGTTTGAGATATTTCAGACAGAATAACCTGAGGGAACGTCGGGCAAACTCAGCGAATGGAAGGAAACGTTGTACTACAATTCGTCCAACTTCTGGCGCTTCTCATGATGCACACATGATATTTACTACCCATAAAATGTTTAATAGTAATACTAGTAATGATAATGGTGAAAATAATAATACCAGAAAAAAAAATAACAATGATAACAATAATAATAATTTGGTAATAATATGATATATAATAATTTAGTAATAATTTAATAAGAACATAAAAAATAAAAAAAATAGCAATAATAATAATGATAACAATGATAATAGTAATGATAATAGCAATGATAATAACAATAATAATATTAATGATAATGATAGCAATGATAATAATAATAATAATAATTCTTGATAATAATAAATAAATAGAAAGCGAAAAGCCAACTAAAAACAACCATAAATTAAAAGAAGTAATCCTCGAAAATTCTGAAATAGATTTTGAAAATTCGTTAAAAAAAGTAAACAATGAATCCCCGAAAATGAGCAATCCTATAATTCAAAAACAAGGAAAAAAAAAATAAGATTCGCAACAATAAAGGGAATATTACAACACAAGCAGTTATCGTAAGGCACTGTTCCATATTAATTTCATTGAGTACAACAACCATCTTATGAAAATGTCTGCCAACTCTAGATAAAGTATTTTCGGTTACAATTTGAAAAATAAAACTTCAAAATCAACAAAGTTTACTAATGTTGATTGAGTCAAAAAACTAAGTTTTAATTTCCGCATGAGGAAGAGAACGTTACCTTACCACAAGCGAAGACAACACTCTATGAAACAACTGCAAAGTGATAATTTTGTGTCAAAATGAAAACACTGCAATAAATTCGATCTGCTGAACTTTGAGTTTTCCAAATGTATTCAAAGTTGGATCATCATAATCTTTTGTAATATAATGAAAAAGTTGAAATCGGTCCAGAAGTATTGCAATTCCTGTAGCATCTTAGAGCGTACTAAGCATTCGAATTAAGCATTGATTCGAAATGATATAAACGTAGTTAATAAAGGAACTGAATTGAACTAATAACTTTATATAACTAGATGCGTGCTGGATGCAACCTCAGGACCAAATCAAGCTTACTAAAAAAGAAATAATAGGCAAATTAAAAATCACTGTAACATTAATTATAACTGAGCATACCTGCACAATAAAAATTGATAAATCGTAAAGGCACAACGAGGGAAGGATTATGCTTCATTTTTTTCCAAAAAATTTAGGAGTATAGAAAAGGGAGAGAGAAAAAGACAATATATGGTCTACAACCACAAGTTGAAACTTGAAAAAAAAAAACCATGTTTTTAACTGAAAAAACTTTCAAACCATTGAAAATTAATTAAGGCTTTGAGAAGTATGATAGAATGAAGTTAAGAAAAGAATAAGATTTGGACTGTGCAAAACAAACAAGAATCGGAATGAGATAGTATACACATAATATTGTTGCTGTTTCATTGCCATTGTTATCATCATCTTTGTATATGAAGGATGGTAGTACTCTATTATTATTAATATTGTGATTCATTGATTTAATTTTCATTTTAAGCCTTAAAAGCGGCGTATTCCGCTCCAAACACCAGCAGCTGCAGCTGTCGCTTGCGTAGTACCCATTGTTGGAAACTGTTCTTCGGATTGCATATCTAGCTGCCATGGTGCTCCTTTAATTTCCACCTCAACACGAGGCGGCGGTGGTGGTTGCTCCATGACACGTGGAGGCATATACTGGCGACGTTCCTTAAATTGAATCATATGAAATTATAATGTTAAAAACTGAATCCTTCTTATTTACAAAAAATCTGACAACAGGTATTGATGTTCGTATTTATTCCACTGATCTAAACTTAGCATGAAATCAACAACGAATGTTGTTGACAAGAGATCGCGCTAATATGGTTCCTCACCTATGTCATTATGACGAATTTGAAAAAAAAAGTATTCTTGAAATCTATATTTCTGCACGATAAAATCTTAGCTTCACATTATAATATCAGATTAAATTTCAGCTTACTAAAAAAAAAAATGAAAAAAAAAAAATTTCATGATTTGACAAATTAGTTGTGTTTGCTGCTATTTAGTAGCTCACGCTAAAAACAAAAAACGCAATATTCAACAATTTTTCATAAAACTGAAATCTGAAAAACCTGCAAAAATTCTTCTTCTTCTCGACGCAGTTGCTCAATACAATCGTATACCGCATCTTCATCTTTGCCTGCAATCACAACCAAATTCGGATCTGGATCGGTGCTCCTTGGCAAACGAATTTCCACTTTAAACTCATCCATCACCTGAATCATCTCATTAATATATCTTTGTGGAAAAAATTTCCTTTTAAATAAGCTTTATAACAAACCAGTTTGTTTAAAAGTTCCACATTTCCTAATGGTTTGAAAAATTATCTAATATTTGGTAAAATAACAATCAAAAGAAACCAAAATTACTGTGGTTACTTTTAACTCTCAAGGATTTTCGTATTATAAGCTTAATAAAAGCTTATAATACGAAAATGCTGTAGTTTTTCTTCGACATCTTTAAAAACCAATAATTTTTTTACAAACAGTTCTGGACTTTTGTACTTTGAACACAAACATTTTCAGCTCATATCATTACCTTTTTCAGATTACGACCTTTCTGGCCTATTAAACGAGGATGGAAAGTGGCATCAAGAAAAATTTCTTGAGTAAAAAGAGATTGTACTTCACCAATCATCGCTTCCATCTCTTCTTTACATGCATTACAGTTTGCCTCATAGCCTAAAATTAACAGTATTTGAAATCCGCTAAAACTTTTTTCTCAGCCTGAACTTTAAATTTTAAAACACACTTTTTTCAAAAATGGAGCCAGAAATAAATTACTGATTGAGAGAAATTACCAGTAAGAGTAATTGTGTCCGGTGGATCGTTGCCGGATCGAGGAAAAGCAATTAAAACATCATGTTTAGCACGCAATTCGTTTACAACTTTGCCACGTGGACCAATAAGACGAACATGGTACTCTGACGGGACATCAAATGTAAGCTTGAAGGAGCGCAAACGCTAAAATTTAAAAAAGTTGCTCAAAATCTGAGAATCATCAAGATGCGAAATACCCAAAGCGCCGAAAAAAAAAATTATATGCATGAAAATCATCTATTTAAAAAAATTTTCGGATAAATTAAAATGTTTATTTCCGCACCTTCACACTGGATGAGAGAAACTAACTTTCACGAATCTTAATCTTATGTACAACAGAGAAATGATTAATAAAAAATAATTAAATAGTAAGAAATAAATAGTACCCGAATTTCCGCTGCTTCTTCAAATTCACCAACACGCTTCAAAATATCAGCCACGGCAGATTCGACATTGTCGGCTGTTCCAGTTACCACTATTTCATCTAAATGTGTATCTTCTGGTGGTATAGAAATATTGACATCATGTGCTTGCATTAAAGAACGTATTGTTTCACCACTTCTACCGATGAGAAAACGATGATGTTCGAATGCAACGTTCACCTAAATTCGTATTATACCCAGCATGGCTATAAAAAAAAAGAACATTAAAACAATAAAATGATTATGAAAACTTGAAAACTGAAATATTATCATCCTCCTCATAAGCAATAAATTATTAATTATATGATGGGCAAGATCAAAAGCGATATGCCTAATATTAACCGAAACTTTCAGAAGTAAATAATATAGCCCTAAAACTGACTGTTTTGGTGACAGGTATTAAAGCTTTAAGCGCTTCAGCGGCTTCTTTACAGCGTGTATCGCGTCCACTAATAGTGATAGTATCAAGTAGTGATGGTCCATCATCCATATTTTTTTCATTTTCATTTTGGGCGTTTTCTATAAAAAAAAAAAGAAAAAAAAAAATTATCAAAAGGATAAACAGAATGTAATAAAAGGAGTGAAATCAAATAAAGCTATTTTTTGCCAAAATAAACATAACTCGCAGAAGAACGATTTAGTGATTAGTAATAAAAATAACTCTCAGCTTTTACCATAAAAAACTTAAGTTGCGGACTGGTTTAGGACCAACCGCAAGCTAATACCCATGATAATGCTTTTTCATAAGTTTTTTTTTTCGCGCATTTCACAAAATAAATTAATCCTTTTGAGAACAGTGAATTTAAGATTAAATAAGCAAATTCAGTATGAAAATGAATTAAAACTTCACAAAAAAATCTGTGACGCTACCTCGAAGTCTTCGATCCGGAAATTTAATTTGAACATTATACTTCAACTGAAGCTCTTGGATTTTCTGCCCACGATTTGAAAGCAGTGTACGATGGTATTCACCTGGGATCTCGACCTTCAAAGATATCTGTGACTCCTGCAACGAAAGGAAAATTACTACACAATATCAAGCTTAAATAATTATTAAGATTTAGTAGGGCTACAAAAAAAAAAATGAATGGATAGAGGTAATAGATGAGTCACCGCACAATTTTAAGACAAAATGCAGAACATACAAGGAAAGGAAAACAAGATCTCCTCGAAAACAGGACACACTCAATCGATTTTATGCAGCACAATAAATACAGTTTTAACGATCTTTCTGTTACGAAATATTTAATGGAGCTTCAACTAACCAAGTCTTCTACAATTTCTTCAATCCTAGCTTTTGCGCACTCCACACATTGTTTACTTCCTTTTAGTGTCACCCTGCTATCATTTGTACCAGCACGAGGAAATGAAATGATTACTCCGCCATTCTGATCCTGGATTTCACGTAGTACTGCGGCACCGCGAATAACAAAATGCCGATGATGTTTGGGGTCAACCTCCATTTTGGCTTCAATATTTTCATTCTGGAAGAAACTTTCAATAAAAACTTCCCGATAATCTTTTGAAATGAAATATAATGAAAATTAATTTCTAGAATTTATTAATATAACACAATGAAATTTCTGACATGTTAACCTTAGTTGTCTTACGCAGTGGGACATATAAGAAATATAAAGTAGTTTCAAGCATTAGAATTAATACATTGCCAAACGTCTGTTGAATAAAACTGGACAATTTGGAACGCCCACAATCAAACCACCTGGTGAATTTAGAGCTGTTTAACATGGTTGATATTATTATCTTATTGAAATAATTGTAGTCCGTCCAACTTGCATCAAATCCATTATCCTCGGGTGCTACAATTCCTACTCGAAAATAAGAAATTTGTTTCACAGTAATGCAATTCATTACTGTAAATTCATTGAACTAAAATTATTTTTTCATCACAAAAACGAAAATGTGTATCGAACAAAATATAGGAAGAAAAAGCCTCTTACCAGTTCCGTTATCATAGCTGCAAGCTGTTTCTTCACTTCTGTCACATCTTCTCTTTTTCCAACAAGATGAATAATATCTTTATCGGTGTCAGTATCGCGTGGAAATAATATACGAACGTCTGGATACATTTCACGGATCTAAACACGACATCATTATTAATTCATAACGATTTTCATATAATACTAATAATCTTGTACTGATAGCTCTCAACTCAATAATTTCCAAAATTGCAATTATGCATTTTCATTTATACAAACAGTTATTGTTAGATTATCGAATCATCTGCTGATTTATCCAATAAGATTAACTGCATTGTTGAGATGTTAAAATAGAAACAGAATTTATTTAGAGATAAGAGTACTACTGTAGAGAACGTAAATTTAGTCATTCTTGTGTACAAACTTATTATTGCAATCGCATTTGAAACGAAACCTTTTTGATTCGTGAACCACCTCTTCCAATGATAAATCTATGGAATTCGGGCTTTGCTGAGACGGAATCTTCAAAACTCGAAAGTTCTCGATCTTTTGCTAAAGCCATCAGCATTTTTTCGGCACAGGCAACATCATCCTTAGGACCACGAATGCTGACCTACAATAAGAAATAGAGAATACTTGTAAATAAAAGTGAATCACTATAAGGTAGCTCCAAGCTACTACAAAGACAAGTTTATATGAAAAGGTTCGAGTTTAGTCTATCGGAATTAAACAAGCATTAAAAAATTTCATGTTCTCCACATGAAAAACATGCAAGTTCCAGGAAATGTCATCAAAATTTAGTATACGATAAAAAGACAAAAAATTGTAAAGCGCAAAATAATGGTATGAAAACCTTATCCGAAGTAATCTTTTCTGGTGGAAATTTGATATGTACACCACCACATTCATCCTGTATGTTAAGTATAAGTCGACGACCTCCACCAAGAAGACGAGAATGAATTTTTTGAGGAATATTTACTTCCACTGTTATAATATTAGCCTCAAATAATATTATGAATTAATTTATCTATATAATTCTTTTATTAACCAACGATTAAAAGAACAATTATTTGGATCTCTTTCATTTTTTGAGTTTCATTCGAAACTTTGACTTATAACTAACGACTAACCGAAAATAAATTTGAACGCATCATTAGAAAAACTGATTACTGCAGTCCTAAGTATACACTCAATGTAAAGAATGTAAAACACAATCAAATTTTAATTATATCCAACCTTACCAATTCGTTTTGAATTTTGGTTAATTGTTCAACAGCTTTTTCCACATTTGCTTTCTTTCCCGTAACTGTAATTTTATCTTCGCCGCTTTCACCACCGGGCAAGTCGATTCTTGTTTGAGTTTCTTCACGGATTTTCCTAATGTTAGCACCACCCTTACCGATGATATGTTTGTGAAATTCTTTGAAAATAGGAACTGTCATTTGGAAATTACTTTCCAGCTAAAATATAACAAACTTCACTTTCCCCATTCTAAAAAATCATGATCGTTAGAAAAAACTGGATCTAAATTAGGACTTAAAATAATTACAACATTCAAAATAATGGAAGAAAAAAGTGACAGAAATCCAATTAGGATTAAATAATACTTACTAGCTCCTTGTTCATCGCAGTCAACTGCTTGTAAGCTTTATCAACTTCAACTCTGTCACCCCTCAGGTTAACAATGTCTGACTTTTTTCCAGGATCTGGAAATGAGAAAATAACCGATGGAAACTGTTCACGAAGTTTCTGCACAGTTTCACCTTTGGCACCAATTAATTGTTTATGAAAACGTTGTTCAATAAGTATGTCGCGAGTTTTTTCGTTCTCCTGGAAAAAGGAATGAAAGTTGCTAGAAATATCGCATTAACCACAACTACAGAAAGTAAAGATTATTTATGAAATTCTAAAATCCCATGAGCCATAAATATAGTTTCTCTCTTCGCTGTAATCGATATATTCTTTATAACAGCATTACTTTCCTTTGTATATTATCGGTTTCAATGAGTAGGAAATAAGCATAGCTATCATATATTCAAAAATATAAAATCAATTTATCAGTCGGAAATGACATTCAGAATACAAAATAAAGCTGTCAAACATACGATTCTCTTGACGATTTCGGCTATTTCTTCGATTGCTTTCTTCACACCTTTCTTATTACCTTCGACTTTAATTTCATCCGAATTTGTTTGTTCATTCGGAATAGTTATCTGGACCCCAGTTTCATCCTTGATTTTGGAAACTGAAGTAAAATGTTTAATAATCAAAAAATTTTTCCAGAAAAGTGAAAAAAGAGGAAATATCAATATTCTAGAGTATAAAATTTAAATAATCTTCATGTTCATCAAAGTTCCAAAATAATGAAAAAAATTCCCATCTTTACGTAGAAGCACTGAATATATTGTAAAAAGTTTGCAGTTTAATCAAATGTCAGCGAACAAGAGATAATGAATAATTTGACTATGATTTGAACTGACCATGAAGCTACCATGTGGAATGGACATGATACAAACATTAAGATATTTCGTGTCATTTCAGTGTGCGTTAACTCTTAGGCAAAAAAATAAATGAGAGGAATCAAGAGAAAAAAGACCAACTCAGAGCTCCTCCTCTTCCAATAACATGACGATGAAGTGATGGGCTGACTCTGATGGTTTCTGAAGACATTTCTTCGGTCAGACGCTTGATTTCGCAAAGTAAGGACATATGCGCCTTCTTTACTTCTTCCGGTGCACCTTCCAAATAAATTAAACCATCCTGTTCAAATCCAATTTGAACTTTATCCTTGTTTGGAACTAAAGTCTGAAAAGTCGAAAATAAAATAACGAAATATAAGTTTTATTCAAATCTAACGAGATTTCTCAATTCCTCAAATTCTAGACATATAAACTGATTCGAAAGGCATAAAAAAGCTTTCTGTTCTCTAAAATCTTGTTCATATTTACAGTTGTCAAAAAATAAACTACTAATGAAGAAAAAAATAATATGTAAAAAAATCTTCGAGAACAACTGAATGAAATACGTGAACTGGTAACATATTAATTGAAAATGATACCTCTAGAGTCATTCCTTTTGGACCGATGAGAAATTTGTGCATCCACGATTCACAAGTGATCTCTGCCGTGATAACACTACTTGCTTTAGCATAAACCATTGCCAATGCTTCGCCTAATTTTGCTGGATCACCACGTAAAGTTATAGTGTCGGAGTCTTCCTCTTCTGGAGGCACTTCGACACTTACACCTGTTAACTTCAGTATTTCAGCTAGCCCACGTCTCTGCGGTCCAATAATATAACGATGTTGCGCGCGTGCTACCTGAAGCTAATGAAGTAAACATTTTCCAGCTAGATTATCACAATATTCAACTCGGAAAACGTCGCAAAATAAAAACAAATCTTAATGCGCTGCAGTTAAATACATCAACAAAACTTTAAAATAGCTGAAAAACATAACATATAGTTAGCTGGCTAATTTATACTAGAACAAATTTAGATTCAGAAATTAGAAAGTAAAACTAAAGAACACAAATTTCGCCTGATATTGAGAAAGATAGAATCCCAATTTCTAGTATGAATATATAATTTTCTTTGAAGTACTGCATCCCCTAATGATGAAATGATCAAAGGTCTAGTAAGGAAAAAAAAAAAAAACCTGAAAGTAGTTACCTCACATGTTACTGGTTTCGCTATTGTTTTCATGTTCTCATATATTTGGCGAACAGCCGCAGCGGCACAATGAACACCCTCCTTCTCACCAGTAATGACAATTACTTCACTTGATGCAGTTGGTGGTGGGATATTAATTTTGGCACCTGTTTTAGAAGCTAATTCATCAATCGTTTCATTGAATGGCCCACGGATAAACGGATAATAGACGCGTGGTATCATTAAATGTTCCTGCGCTAACTTCGACTAAAAAAAATTTTTTTTTTCCAAAATATTTCTGAAAGTGGAGAAAAAATATAGTAAAACTACCAATAAAATATAATGATTTATGCACGTATGAAGCTGCAAGTCTCGATACACTTAATGTCAAAGTAATTCTATGCTTAATAGTTGTAACGATTTCTTACAGTTATCTAAGGCCAGCGTTAATGCAGCAAAATCATAATGATGGAAATGATAACAATAAGAATAATGACAAGAATAGTAGTAATAGTAGAAATGGTAATAATAACAATAATAATGATTAATAATGAAATTTATTAGTATTAAATAACAATTAGAAAAAAAATTTTTTTTTAATTTTATTATTATTAATATAAATTAATAGCAACAATAATCAAACAATAAATAATAATGATAACAAAAATAAATAATTAGCGTCAAATCTTACCTGTTTATCGCTTACGAGTTGAATTTCATGCACTGCTTTTTCGATACCGTCACGTGGACCAATTATTTTGATGATATCACTCGGTGAATCACGGCCTGGTACCATTATCCGACAATCCGTATCTTGCTCCAGTTGTCGCAACTTGATACCTTCTCTCCCTAGAGCAAAAAGAATAAAAATTAATTAATAAATACTCAAATAAAACGAGTAATACTACTAATTAACAAAGCTATTTCGAACACACCAATTAAAACACGATGGTGTTCTTTCGGTATTGCAATTTCACGAGCCGCCTGGGTCTTTAGCCTGCGTGCAATATGTGAGCGTGCTTCTTCAACCCGTTGACGCTTCCCAGTGATTAGAAGTGTTAAAGAATGATCTTTAGCTTCACAAATTTCAATCTGTGTACCAGTGGCTATAGCTATTTCGTTACATTTTTGCTGTTCTTCATTAGTATTGCCGAAATTTTTACTACCAGTTCTTGAAGCACGTTCATCGCCAGAGAGATGGTAAACCTGTAAAACATCTAAATTGTAACTTTTATGAAAACCAAACAATATCTTAATCTGGAATACGTAGAACACCGGTTATTTTCATATAGAGAGGGCAAGGGTTACCGCAATAAACTATATCGCAAGGTCTCAGAAAGCAACACATTGTGTTTTTCCACTTTATTTGCAACTAGTAACATGCATTTCATTTTTGCAATAACAACTATTGCTATTTCCACGACGCAATTTGATAATAAGACATATCAGTATATGTTTTATAAGTAAAAAAGAAAAAAAAAACACAATGAAACTTTTTCTTTCAATATTCCCTCCCCCCCTCCCTTGTATCCTACCCAATTTAAATTCAGAAGACATGAAATGGGACAAGGGAATGATATGTATTATCACAAAAACAAGAAACTACCTGTGTAGTTCTCTCAGAACGAACAGCGGGAGGTTTATTCCATACACCACCAAGTAACTGTGAAGCACATGCATTTGGTTTGTCCGGTAGTTCCGGAAAATCCGTGCTGTAATCAAGAACACTGACACCCGTTTCGGAATAATTTATTCCACTTGCCCCTGCAGTACTACCATTCTGCAACACTGTGTGATGACGTTCAGCACCTGGCGCCAGATTTAGTGATCCTAAAAATTCTAAATAGAGAACTGAAAACTGTGAAATTAGAAAAGTAATTATTATTACTAAAACAATAAATCAGACTGTCGATAATGAAAGTAGTCCAAATTATTGGCATTAATGCTCTCCAACGCACCTAGATTGTTCTGGTTTCCATAAGTATAGTAGAACTAAACTACACAACTAAATTACAGTCCTGCATTGATATCTGCTTGGGCTTCTCAAAACCAATTCTGTCATATAAAACAACAGAATTTTTAAGGATATTGTCAATCAACAAAATCAATTGTGAACAATAAGTAACATGTTACTGCTTTTCAGAGAAATTCTACAAACGACAGCACAAAATAAGAGTGTTAAACAAGAAAGAAAATGCTAATAAATCCAAAAAATAAAGAATCATTAAAGTCAATCAACCCCAATAAAAAAAATACCAACCTTCATTCGCTATATCAGATGTTTCAATGGATTTTTCTTGCTCATAATTTACAACCTTTTCCATGTTTCATGCGAAAAATTTTCACTGTATTGTTCCGGCTCGTTATTCAACAGCGATCGGCTCGCGTATTCCGCTGGGCTAGTTCGGGTTCGTTTTTCAGTACTGTAGTGTTACAGTTACTAATCTAATTGCTTTAATTACTTTATAACGACGATAAGAATGAAAAGGTGTGACAGAACAGAGTCGTAGGATCACAAACACTTTGAGAATGGAAAACGAATATGACAAGAATTCTATTTTCGTATGTCTTATTACTGGTATGGCAAATCGTTCTGTTCGATGGCATCCAAAATGTTTAATTTATTTACCTTAGTCGGACTGATTTCTTTAAAACCTTTACCTATTGCCACAAAACCTGAATGTGCAGAAAATTCCCCAAACTGAGAATTGTGATAGTTTTTTTTTTTTTTTTGGAAAGATGAATCTACTGACAAGAATCAAACTTTAAAATATGCATCAAAGTTAATAATTATGATTTATTCTATTTCAATAAATATTTCCGTAATCTTTTACAACCTCTGGTTTCTAACGGTGTTGTTTTTGCTTCAATGCAATTACTATACATAATAGAGACGATTTTTTGAAGCAAGCGAAAAAGGAATGCAGCAAAAGATAGAAACAAAAAAAAAAAAAAAAACCAATCACTGCCTCTGACACATCAAAGATGAAACTTTAAAAAAATTGATCAAAGATGAAACTTTAAAAAAATTGATAAAACTCGAAAGGAAAATCTGATGCAAGCGATATGCCTTTTTGCCATTTCATAAGACATAAAATATTCAAAATCCAGAACAAATTTTAAAAAAATAAAAAATAAAGAAACCTACCAAACTGCTTAAGGAAGGCCTTTGAGTAGCACCTGATAAGAAGATGCAACCCAAAACTGTAAATGTATTTCTTTTACCTGTAAATCATTCGATAGGCTAGATTGCATTTAAAGTTGCACCAGACAAAAATAACGATCGAAGATTTTACTTTATAATGATTGGAGTGAATGATTATAATTCCATGCTTTAATGATCAGACTAGAAGGAGACAAAAGGTAAGACCTCACCTATCCTAAACAATCAGTACGATAATCAATACAAATCTCATTAGTGATAAGGTTGATATAGCAATAATTACAATGCTCTCTTCATTCCGTTCTATTATTTATATAAAAAACCAATTTAAATTTCTAAAACATTTTCTTCTTAGTTAACTAATATTCAGTAAAGTTGTTTTCCTAGTTTATATAAGATTTTCCAAAAACAGATGACCACTCTTGAAAGATTTCATGAAAAGAAGCATAAATTATATTCGTACATTAAAGAACCGAAGGTTTATCCTTTTATTATTCTGTAAATGAATGTAATTCACCAAGAACTGAGAAGAAAAAAAAAGACTAAACATCAGTTCTGGTAGAATTGAGCTGTTGACATGAAAAAAGAAGGGAGAATTATTCTATCAGAAATGCTCAACATACATTGCACAGCTAAATGAAACTCTAACATTTGACCTCCTCTAACCACTAAACGAGCAAGCACACCACCAACTAAACTTCGAGACAAACAGTTCCCGCGGCAAAGAAGGAGATTAAAATTAACGCAGCCTATTGAGCATCATTACAGTGCAGTTTTTGGGTGACTTTGACAATACTTACGTCCCTCTGATGACAATAAATTGATGAAGGGAAGTGAGCATTGTTGATACTGTCTGATACCATCTTATTAAATGTAAACATTGACGGTAATCCGATTGCATGAAATAATTGATATTTTGAGAGAAAGGGAGAGAGAGACAGAGAGGGAGAGATGAAGAAGAATTGAAAAGATTGATAACGATTGTTAAGAATGATAAAAACGACGACTAAATTTGTCCTTGCAGTTTTTATATTATTTACGCTTATATTAATATTTTACACTTTTAATTACAGATTACTCTTATCCTTACATTCCATTTTGAGTTATCATAGAGAAAAGATGAAATAAATACATTATTATGGTTACTCAAAAATATATGAATATATGAATGTAAATATATGAATGTAAAAATGATCAAAATGCAACAAAAATGTATTAGAAACGTATTAATCATTATTATTCATTTCCACTTTTTTAAAAATTTTTTTTGAAAGAATGATTTGAAAAGAGGAAACGAATTACCAACTCAACAATACAATAAAGTAAAGGTTAATAGAGCACACAGTGTACGATGATAAGAAATGATCAATGATTTATTCTGTAAACGATCCGTCACCATACTGCAATAGATGACGTGTCACACGAATCGGCACTTTTCCATCATCGTCTATAGCATGCCATTCTTCGCAGAACATAAAACAACGAACGAATGGGTTAAATTAAACGAGCATTTCTTGGATTCTATCTTTGCAATGATGTAACCCCCCCCCCCCCCCCCCCACCCTCCCCCTCTCCCCCTAATTTCTGATTTGTCGCATGGATTGGATTGACTGATTGATTGATTGTGGACAGGTCAGGTCATTCATACTACCATTATCTTTGTTATTATTATCATTAATACTGCCATTATCTGTTATCAGGTGCAATTATTATAATTTACTTTTTCTCATCCTTTTCAAGTGTTAAAGAGGTGACAACCAATATGTGATCAGCACAACTATAATCTATCAAATACAAAGAGATACTGTTATCCAAGGTAGACGAACATTATCAATACCTTTTTAATATACTCACCTGATTTCCGGAACCAGAATTTTCAGCAAAAAGGAATCCAGTATTTACGAAGGTTAATACTGCTTGCTGTTCATAGCTGCGTCATTTGCACAGTCCATTAGATGTTTTCTGTGGGACAATTCGGATTCTTAGACAGAACATACGAGTTAGTAATAAAAGAAAAAAAAAAATTTTTTTTTTTTTCAGGATATATATGAATTCATCTGCAATTGCTTCAACAAGAAATCTAAACCAGACATTTCATAAATTATTCTGATCCTAATCATCTTCAGACTTTCCCCAATGTACTTTAATTGATTTGGTGCATAACTCCATCTCTTTGATAATCGTCATTCCTTCATTTAGCAACCATTTATTTGATTTGAAATGTTAAATTCCTGCATTTTTTCATATTTATTTTTCCATCCATTTCTGCTCTAACATCACAAATCATTTAACAAAAGTGATTAAATTAAAACAAATCTTTTCATCGTTACTTCCATGCAATCATGATTAGTGAATATATATTTCTGTACAGATTGATTTGATACCTCTTTTCCAATTATATCATTTATGATAAACTATCGACGAATTCCTCGTTTATTTATTAAAATTGTGGTGAATATATTATTTTTGATATAAGTAAATAAAAATCTTTTTTTCTTTGCCTTGTTTGCTCTTTCCTAATTTAGTATTTTAGATATATGGAGGAGACAGACATGTCTGATCGTTATTTTCAAAGTTCTCTAAAAATACATCCTTTTCCATTTAATCAGAATAACAAAGAATGTCTTAGAGTCTTAGATAACACAGACGCAGTAGTTATCTATTCAAGGAGTACTTAAGTATACGAAATGAATTATTGCTCAATCATTTGTTTTATCATAGAAGCATTCTGTTGTGATTATCTTTGCTATAAACAAAATCTGTAATCTGTGTGACAATATACTAAACAATTCATACAGTTTAAGTTATATGAGTAAGATACGATAGTTAGTTATCCGTATGTCTGCATACGTAAACATTTGTGTTGTGCACCACATTCTCATCAGAAGACAATAACGATAACAATCACGTACACGTTGCAGTCATCTGCAAACGCATGCACTAATACTTTTTGTACTGCGTATGGAATAGAAAGGAAAGAAAAGTAGTGAAATAACGCAGAAGAATTCACTTAAGTCACTTCAACCATTATACGTTCATGTTCATTTACAGCGTCAAAATGACAACATGGTAATGGCAACATGATGTCGACGTGATGACAACGTAATGATGTCAACCTTCTCAACCATTCCTGACAAATAATTCGTTACAACTAATTCAATGCCTTATCTAATTTTTATGGCTGCGTTAAATTCTTCATCATTTCTGAAAAATGCACGTTTCACGTTCTTGAGCTAATATTTAGTGTTGATGACTTAAATGTGAAATGTGCTGAGTTGAGAGTTTAATTAATTCCTGTTCCACTCATTTTGATCTCATTTCCTCCTCCTTCTTACGCAACAAAAATTTTCTTATTTCCTATATTTTACACTGTAATTTTGATTAAGAAATAAGATTGAATGAGAAAGGGAGAGAGTGAGACAGAGTGTTAGTTGCAAGGTACTGTGATTTTATATTGTAATGTTTTATCTTATTTAATAATTATCGTGATATTGTTGATGCTAATATTTTCTTTGTTATGCAGATCATCTCTCTATATCAGCATGCTACAGCAATTATATAATTTCTCCTTTTTTTTTATAGTTTCGATAAGCAATATGGTGGAAATATTTCGAAGTGACATTGATGTACAACATTCATTATTTTCGGTTTTGTTATCCGTAATAGTAATCAATATAGCATATATATTACGTTTCGAAAAGTGGAAACTTGAGTATATAGCGTTCTTGCTATCGATTCCAATATCGGTGTTAATTTGTGGTTGGCGTGCACGTTGGAATGCAATACAAGCATCTTTTCTTGGGGGCATTTTTACATTATCTCTACTCTGTGCCTATTCAACAAATAATTTGTATTTATCAATATTCGCTTGGTATTTCGCATGTATGGCGGTATTTCACTACGGCGAATTTCTGGTGACAGCGTTAACAAACCGACCAGATTTGAACTTTTCATCCTATCTTCTTGATCATTCTCTCGCATATTGGGCAGCTGCTTTGATAAGCTGGGTGGAATATGCAGTGGAAGTACATTTCTTACCACATTTAAAAAATGTTGCCGTTAGTTATGTTGGATTAATATTAATTATATTTGGTGAAATTTTACGGAAACTTGCAATGATTCATGCAAACGGTGGATTCACACATATGATTGCAATCAAGAAGTGTCCAAAGCATAAATTGATCACTAGTGGTGTGTATGGTTTCGTACGACATCCAGGATATCTCGGTTGGTTAGTTTGGTGTTTGGGCACTCAGGTAATGCTATGCAATCCTGTATGTTTGATCCTTTATTTGCTAGTTGGGTGGAATTTCTTCAACGAAAGAATATATTGGGAAGAACGTTATCTGACTTCCTTCTTTGGTACAGAATATATTCAGTATCAAAGAAACGTACCGCTTGGAATACCGTTTATTAAAGGATACGAATCACAGTCATCGAGATAGCATCTTGTTTGATTTTATTTGTTACTGTAATCTCAACTTTACCTCATAGAATTAACACTTGTAATAGTTAAATTGACAGTTGCATATTTAATGGAGATTCTCTTTGTTCTTCATGTTCTTCTGATGGCGCAAACAGTGGCAAACATTGATTCTGTATGAAAAAAGCTTTTCGGATGTTAGCTATATGAATATTGCTATTGGTTTAGAGCGTTTGGTTAGCTATTTGCTATATTTCTACAAACTACACTTTCTTACAAAATCCTAGACTTTTGATTATAGTTCTTTTTTCGAAGTCAATACAAATAAAGTTGTTAACATATAGCAAAAAAAAAAACTTTCTTAATGAGCTGTTAAATACTTGTTACCGTTTAAAGGAATTACAGGCGTTGTTTGTTGAAAATTTGTTAGTGTTATACGATTATACTCTTTTCATTTGGAAGTTTATACTTATGGACTAATAATTGTAATAATAAGTCATTTTCGGTGTGATCTCAGTTTTTTGTCTGTAAATTTCAATACCAAACATTTTAACATAAACTACTGAGTATTAAAGTTGTTAAAGTAAGCTTAAGGGATGAACTTATAAGTGACTTTAATTAGTTTTTACTGACAGCATTGAATATGTGTTGGTAATGCTGTTTTGCTGCTTTACTGGGTAAGTTTTTTATGCATCATTTTATTATGCTTATCCTAAGTTGTAGTACTGCATGTTATTTTACGCCTACAATGATTAATATTGATCACAAGTTTTGATAGTTTGTGCCATGCACATTCCAGAATTTAATTCGGTCTTCTTTTTTTTTTTTTTTTTTTTTTTTTTTTGATGCTGGTAACATTTTGCTGTTAGGTTTGAAAAATTAATTCAAATTAAAAGTTTTTGTTTGCTTAGTTGTTATGCAGGATGCTCAGTTAAATTTTTTGGTTGTTGAAATACTATTGATAGTATTTTCAGCAAACTTCTTTCAAACATTCAAAGATTTAGCGTTGTCATGTTTTGTAATTTTGTTTGCTGTAGAAATATATGAATTAGTGTTTAGCGAGTGTAGATGATACGTCTTTCTATATGCATAGTGTTGTAATTATCACATAATAAAATTCAAGATGAATAAACAGAATCCATCAATCGATTATGAAGATTTGGAATCAGAATTTGACTATGCAAATGATGCTGGAAGCAGTGTTGATAGAAGAAAAAGTTATCGAATACAGGATGATCAATTATGGAAGAAACCACGATTTGGAGAAGTTGCATTGCCAGATCGAAAGAAAGCAAGAGGCATATTTGATCAAGAACAGTCCTGTTTTGAGAGGTACTATTTGCTTTTCAGGAGTTTTTATCAAGAACGAGGTGGAAAAAAATGAGAGCAAAGAAGATTGAATAACAAATAATTCCATTTTTTTTTTGTCTAATGTTTAAATATATAAAGGTATAATTGTGCATTCTGTCACTCTAATATTGATGCTATTTTGGGAAACGTGTAATTTCTCACTAGTTTTCAGACGAAAACAACGTCTAATGACTCTAGACGTGTACACGCGACATAAAGAACTTATAAATCAGTATTACCTCTGTTATCCAGGTGCAACAGCAAGATTACAGCGAGATACATCCAGAGATCGCACCGATTATGATGTCCTGAAAGACAATCACAGATTTCTCTGGGATGATGATGAGGTTTCACATAAAATATATTTACTTTTTTTGCAGTATAGATGCAGTTCTAGGAAACAATTATTGATTAAACCATAATAAGGGTATGGTGAGCGATTATACTCTTTATCATCATTTTATGTTTGGGTATATCCAGTTCTTTTTTAGTTAATGAAAGCAGCGGAGAAGTCGTGGGAAGCCCGTTTAGCCAAACGTTATTATGACAAACTTTTCAAAGAATACTGTATTGCTGATCTTTCGCAATACAAAAAGAATAGGTAACCATGTTAAGACATATTTCAGCACTGGAATTCTGAAATGAATTTTAACATCCATATTCCTATAACGAATCTATCCTCTGCGAAAAAAAATTAGGACTGGATTTCAACTTTTAAATAATTTATGTTGTTTACTACTTCTTTGTTGCTAAATTGTATTCCTTGCTACTTCTGATTTTTGACTTTTGAATTTCAGAATAGCTATGAGATGGCGAACTGAAAGAGAAGTCAGATCAGGGAAGGGTCAGTTTGAATGTGGCAATAAAAGGTGCAAAGAAAAAGACTACCTTACTAGTTGGGAAGTATGTCTTGTGAAACTTTTCATAATGTGAACCAAATTTATATTTCAGCTAATATCTTTTTATTATGTTTTGGCAGTGCAAAGAAAAAGACGATCTTACTAGTTGGGAGTAGTTTGTGAAACATAATGGTGCTGATTAAATTTTAATATAGTTAAATCCACATAACTTCAAATGAAACAAATGAAAATGTATTTTAAAAAAAATGTTTAGAAAATAAATTCACTATTTTGAACTGTATTAAAATATGAGGCTGTTTAGAAATTAAATAAAGTGAAGTTTTGAATGAACCGCTTTATTTCCGGTTAATTTTGCGTACTTGGAGAATAGCATTAAGAAAAATGCTCTTGTCAAGTTGCGGTTGTGTCCTGAATGTTCAAAAATGCTCAATTATCATTCTCAGAAAAAGAAGCCAGAAAAGAAAGATAAACATAGACACAGAAAGAGATTGCAAGTTTTTCAGAATTCTTAATATTGAACATTCATCAAAATATAATTCTGTGATATCTGCAATTTCTTAAAATTCTAAATATTCGAGTTTATATTTAACTTACATTTCATTTGTTGATTTATTGTTTGGTCATTTGCTTGACATTGATTTCACGAATGACTATTATTCAGGCCACATGCTAGGAGTCAGAAAAGCGAAGAAACTGCGGAGCAAACAAACACTTCAGAAGTCCAGCAGCCAGCAGTTTCTGAAGAAACGTTTAAAGAAGTAGAACAGAATATTGACGAAAAACTGGAAAAGGATAATTTAATGGAAATCTGGAGGAAATCACCGGAAGACACTGATCCAGAAAAAATTGCTGAACGAGAACTTGATGATTTCTTGGATGACTTGTTATTGTAATTGGTGAGCTTATATATTTGTATATATTTAATGGATTTCTTATCAAGAAGTCAACTAGAGAAGCTGAATTTAATGAAATACTGATGCTATTTTAGCGGTAGTTAGGCAGTATTTTGATTTCAAATATTTTAATAAATTCGGTTGTTTGTAAAGGCTTACACTAGAACATTTATCTGAAAATAGTGCTTTAAAAAGGAGTGGACAGATCCACGTTATTTTAGAGGCGAAAGTAAACTTCAATTTCCAGCCACTTTTTGCATGCTTTGGTTAGTTCTATAATTAAAAAAACAGGGTCGTTACTATATTAGTTAAGTATAAAACGAAACAGTATTTTTAAATTTCAACAAGGTAAACGTATGGAATAAATAAAACTAAAATAAATGGCTTGTTATAAGTATGCCTGACTTAGTTATGATCAGGACGAGGACGCGGCTTTCTAAAATGTTCTTTGAGAGTCTAATTGAAGATATTCAACTTATGTTTCCTTTTTTTTTCTTTTTTTTTTGAAAAGGTGAAATTAAATCTCTACGACTTTCTACTCTAAATTCTACTACCATAATTATTACGGTTAAATCGTTTTTTTTGTTACCCTATTACCTCTCTCCAGCTCCATGTTCAGTTTAAGTCACATACCATCTAATTTCATCGTCCATTAGAATTCATCCCGAACATGCTATTTTCTCAAAAATTAAAAAAATTCAATCTATGATGTCATACTTTGTTCAACATCCGATGTTTATTATTTCTTACAATTTTAGTTGTTTATGATGGACAAAAAAATTTCAATTCAGAAGCAAAATTTTTTCATAGATTCGATTTGTCCAATAGATATGGCGAATATGAAAGTCTTAATATGAAGTTCTGAAAATGATAAATGATGTGTGAAATATACAGTGATAATTGAACTGATTGACAGAATTAAAGTGAACAAAGAATGAAAAATTTTGATGGCAAATTTCAACTGATTTCAAAGTCTGTGTAATTTCTGCAGTGCCACAGTTTGAATAGTGTGTCTTAATTTTCTTAATGCTAAAGTAAGTTTGCGGTAGTTTCTTGTTTAAGGAGTTTCTTATCATTAATGTAAAGCTTATGCAAACATTTGTTTAACTGACAGAAATAATGAAGTAAGTTTGTTTGCATATGTGCAAGCTTGCACACATGCACGCACGCAACGCATACTTGCACACACACTACATCTATAACTTTTCATTTTGGAAAATCTTTAAATTTTAAATGATAAAATGAAACTATATATAAATATATACCCCATTAAGACGAAACGATCTAACATAAATGGAGATTTATGGACGAAGTCACTTGACGTTCACGTACGTGTTCAAAGTTTAATTTAAGCAGATGATTGAAATAAAAGAAAAAATAAAATAAAATAAAGCAAATAAGAAATAAGTTTGATTCATTGACAATATGTACTTGTTATGCTGTCATTTGTGAAAAAAAGAAAAGAGTTATTAAATTTTTGCTGTAATTATGACAAGAGATTTATCGTACTGATAATCTTATTGATATTATAACAGTATTTGTTGTTTAGCAAAAAATCAATTTCTAATCAGATCTTTGAATCAAAATGAAGACTTTTTAGATTTTAAATGGTATTTTAGAAAAAATGAGACGACAGAAACGATGGATTTTTCTAATGAAATACATATCGTTGTTAGAGAATATATTGATAATATCTTGAAAGAGATTGCATGATAAAATCTTCAGATGTCCTTCATACATTATTATTTCTGCTTTAATCGATGATACTAATATCGAATCACTGAAATACTTAATATTTGATTGATTTCAATTGTAAATTAAAATATGTGTTGTAACAAGTTGGATTATTTAGTATATTAACCATAGGAATTTTCATTATTTCGTTTCGTTATGAGTAGAATTAGACTAAATCTGTAATTCGAACTTTTTATGTTGAATTGATTCATCGAGTTACACGCCTACGAATTACGTCATATTCCCGATACGTGTAACGATTGACTTAAAATTAATTGACGTATTTTTTTTTTTTTTTTTAGTGAAAACGAAAAGCTATTTTACATTATTGATCGTTATGCACTTATATTTTCATCACTGTTGAATTGAATGTTTCCTTAATTTGAATAATACTGGAATAAAGTGACATTCTATTTGACTAACTTTATGAATTGTGCCATTAAAATTTGCTGAAATAATTTTTTGTTTACCATTTAAATGGACAATATATTATGGTAACTTCTATTATTCATTTCTGTTTTTACATGATAATTTGAAGTGCGATAAATGCTTAAAAACAAATTATGCGTTAAGTATAGCTGACATCTCGTATTTGAAATATTTGTTTAATTCATAGGATTAAAGTTGAAATCTTTAAAAGAAATAATACTTTTCATATACCAGACTATTGAAATCATTTTAGCTGAACGAAAATAAACAAAATATTAGGATAAGACAAATTTGAAACCTTTTATTGCTAGCTTAATAAGTAACTTATTTTAGCTTATCATTAATTATGAGATTTAAATGCGCCTCGCTCAACATATTACAATTAGCTACCAAGCATTTCAATTTTTTCATTCTTATTTATGCACATCAAAATGAGTGCGATAAACTGAATTTAAAAAGTTTGTATTAGTGGCGGTGTCGCCTTTCATTAAGATTCACATCGTTAGGCAAAATGATTGGTACACTTTGCGCACATTCATCTTTCATCGGATGCTATAAAATACAAATATTTTACATGCATAACATTTTAGCATTTATAAAATTTCTTCCAAACTTTATAATAAATCAATAATTTTATTATAAAATTGTTGTATCTTTTGCTTCAGTAAATTTTGTTCAAATTTTATTTTTCATACAATTTACAGAGAATAATAATGATAAAATCATTTAACTAACCGTTTTAACATAAAAATAAGCAATAATAATAAGAACGAAGAGATAAGCAATAGCAAGAAGCATTAACCACCGCTTCCAGTCAAATAGTCATGAAATGAATTTATTCAAACGATTACTTCTTTCGCTTTTATTGAATTTCTAATTGCTTTACACCATTATTCCATTACGTACGTACGTGTATATATATCTTATTTCATTTCCGTTTATATTGTTATTTACCTTTTCCTCTAATCTAGAAACGAAAAAGTCTTACAGGAAGCACTATATAAAACAAATTAAATTGAATTTTGAAAAAAGATAAATTTCAAAGTTTTTTGCGCTTACGTATTTGAACGTACTATTTATACTAATGTACTTATTGGCTAATTTATCACTCTTTAATACTATAAAGTATTACTTTTATACCTGCAGTGGGTATTACTTTACTGCAAAATATTACTTTTTATAGTATTAACTTTCCATCTATCTTTCTTTCTCTTCTTCATCGCAAAATTGTTTCTGATTTTTGCAGTGAATAAGTTAATCAGTTTATGTGATCTGTCATGATGTTCATTAAGTTAGCTAATACTTTCTTTTTGTTCAAATTAGCAAATTGTCAATTAGCAAATAATGTGAGTAATATGTAACTGAGATTTACGACTGTGCTGAACGATGAAAAAGTACTGAAAGAGTTGTTTTGATTTCGATCTCGATATATCTCAGAGAGATAATAAAAGACAGAGAATCATGACTGCAGCATGGCATATGGTATATTTCTAATCTTAAACTTCTTAATCTTCGGATAAATATCAAAGTGATAATTTTAAACATAGAATTTCTATCGAATTTCCTACATATCTCTTGATTTTTTTTTTTTTTTTTTGCTTTTGTCACATATGTTATCTAAATTTTGAAAATGATAAAGCAATTTTATGATGGCTAATTTTCTTTGCAATTACTAATTTATTTCATTCAGATTATAAGGTGAAAAGCAAATATGTAAGGCGTAATTTCTCAATTCTTAATAAAATATTAATTCATTACATATTAGCAGAATAATTCGACTAGTGCAATTCATAAGAAGTGAAAATGATATTAGAAAAAATTGACAACAGACTTATTTCAGTTCAAATTACAGTAATAAAATTTTTTTCGTAATCATACACTGATTTTCCGGATTCCATGCGATTCAATCATTGATGAATGCATGAATATTTATTGTACTTAGACGAACATTTGATAATTATTTAATGAAAAAGAGAAAAATGAATTTTAATAACAATGCATTTTTTCATAGTTTTATTGCAATGCTTTATACTGTATATTTCGAAATATTTTATAATAATAGCATTTGATACTTTTATACTTTAAAATATTTATAAATTAAGAAAAGAAACTATTTCTTCTCATTTTCCTTTTTTTTTTTTTTTTTTTTTTTTTTTTGAATATTTCAATTTGTATAAATCAATGCTCGGAAAAAGGAAATTCAGTATAACTCAATCATTGATTTACACAGTGATTTTCCGGATTTATGCGATTCAATCATTGATTCACACACTGATTTTCCGGATTCCATGTGATATTCGAGTATTGTCCACAGCAATTTAGTAAACTAGTAGTAGTATTTAAATGATCTGTTGATTCCAGAAATGGTTGTATGAAGCAAGGTGGAACAAATCGAATTGTTGCCATTGCTTTGATTGCCATCAGTGCACTTATTATTGATGCAATTATTGTTATTACTACAATGAAAAAAATATGCTAAATAATTTTCTAACTTATTAAATTATCTTTATTAACTGATTAAGTGATTAGTTTAGTTTATTTGATTGATAAATTAGTTGAATTATTTATTGCTCATTCAATAAAATCATTTATCTGTTTGTCAAATTTTATCAAATTAATTGAAATAGCTTATTTACTCATACAATTAAATAATCTATTAAGCAAGATAACATAACCCTTTTTTTTTTTTTTTTTTGTTTGTTCATTGTTTAATTAATTAACGTAACTTACCATTCAAAATCCCATACCAATACATCATATGACGTGGCGTTCTCTCATAAATTCTGTAAATAAATAATTATTAGCAATTTTCTTTGATAAATGCAACTTAACATTGGCTGTGCAAAGATTACATTTCATTTGTCATAAATTCTTCACATATAACAAAACGTGTTTTGGCGTCAGACGTGGTTTTCTGATATAAAAAAGAATTAGCATATAGCAGCTTATGACATTCTTTGATGCTATACAAACAAAAATTTAGCCCAAATGCAAAACATTTTCTATCGAAGCCTAATTGAACCCGATTATTCGGCACAACTAACTCTTCCAATGTGGGTATTTTCCATTCTTTCGTTTTCTCATTGTATCGTTGAGATTTGAGAGAAAGACCAAATATAGTTGGCAATATGATACAGGTGAATGGTAGAGTTGTGCTCCCAAAGAAATCCATAATTGAGCCAAAATTTGGCACTGATAAAGCAACGAACAATACGGATACCAAAAGTCCGGTACGAACGGCAATACGTTGCCAACACATCTCTACAATACACTTTTTTCTTTTGAAAATTTTAAAACTTGAATTAAAGTTTTTTAGATATAGAATGACATTCATTTCTAACTTAATCATCAGATTCAATGAATGTCAAATTAAGAACTTTATGACTTTCAACAAACATTCATTTACCATATCTTTTGTTAATATCATTAATCAAAATTGTCAAACTAATAGTTTAAGATTAGAATAAACAAACTATGTGGCACATGAAAAATATCTTCAAATTGTTGATTGATCGGATTGATAGTTAGAATAATGGTAAGCACGCAGTGAAATGCAACTGCTAAATCAGCTGCATGCCGAATCCATGTTGTTTGCAATGAATCAATTACTGATTCATGCATACTTTGACCGTAAACAACATAGGAATAGACGGATAACGGAATATACAAACAACCGGTCCCTAAAAATAATACTAGGAATTAGACAAATAGTGTTCAACTTTTTTTTTTTAATTTGTTCCTTTTAGTTCATTCGAAATTAAGCATTTTTTTCTGCAACGATAGTATATTACTATTTACGGCAAGCGAAAAGCGAAAATTGATTTTTGATTAATTTTTGCATAAAATTTGAAAGAATCGACAGGATTAAAATTGGTTATTTTGATAATATTTGTATTGAAATTCGAGTAAAATAACACTCTTCTAGCTAATTCATTTGTTATTTGAAATAATTTCAATCTTTTTAAAATAAACTTTAGTGAATTTGTCTTATTCTCATATATTAATATCCAAATTTTTGAAATGATCAGAATAACTAACAGATGAATCCAAGTAAAATGGATTTTGTGAATTCATTTGGCTCACGCATATCGTGCTGTATCGTTGGGAATACGTGATGGCCACTATAGGCAAACACAAATGTGCCAAGGCTGTAGAGGGAGTGAAATGATGGTGGCTTATAAACAGCTGATAATTTGCATGAACTGTGATCTCGACTAACACCAATCAAAATTAGCACAACTGCAGCAATGGTACAGAGAAGCGATACAGCCACAAAAAGCCTGAAATATAATTGTTAGCTTACTTCTATTTATGACAAGCAAAATGGTTCATTTTTGGGCAAATTTTGAAATAATAGTTTGAAATAAATTTCGTCTTTTTTATCTGCAGCACATATAATAAATATTATTTGATTATAGATTTGACATAGTGAAATTTTGAATAAATTCTTGCAGATGCTTAAAATGAAAGAAAAAAGAGTTATATTTGTGTATTGGTAATGAAGAAATTTGAATGGAAATCATTTAAGGCACAACTAGCAAATCAATTGTCAAGATATATTTGACTTATAAGATATCATTTAAAGTATCTCTGAGATGGTAACTTATTTAAAGAGTTAATCTTTTCTACGAATTAACTATTAATTAATAGGAGAAACTAGCATTTCACCAAAAATTTTTTTATTTCGTTATATTTAAGCAGAAAACACTGTTGATATTTGATGAAAAAAGAAAAAAAAAATCGCTTTGTATTCTTTTCAAATCTTATCTCTCTTTTTCAAGAGATAAGATTAGATGGCAATAATAACTACCTGTATTTTTGTATACTTATTTTATGAAATTCCAAGAAAAAAAAGATGCGATTTTTCGAACAAACCAAAAATCAGCTGGCGATCGGAGAAAGGTAATCGGCAAGATTAGTATTACAAGGATTATTAGCAAGAGGCAGAAATTTATTTTAATACCGAAATAGATTAGAACTTTGTGAAATATGCTTGATGACAGAATAACATATACAGTAGTGACACCAAACAGCGTCGTGTTAACACAGAGAGCCGTGAAAGTCCTAAAATTTGTAAAATTTCAATTTTTTAAATATACAAATGTAAGAGATTTAGATTAATCAGAACTGTAATTTTTTACTGCACACTGTTTTAAATTTACTCTAATTTCGTTTACTGTAATTTGCAAATGGAGATATTAATTAATGAATTTATAATTATAACATAATGGAGTCTAGCATATAGTCAATAAATCTACAAAGCTTATCTGAATATTTTACAAATTCAAAATATTGAGCATATAGCATAATTTGAAAATGATGAAGTAATATAGGTAATTTGCCTCATTTTAGGTCCAAAACTACGCATGCCAATTTCAGGATACGGTTGACGACAATTTGTCTTGTACATAGGCCACCGTTCTCTCATTATAGTCCATGTCTCTGATAAAAGATAAGCACTGTTCGTAAAAAATATAGCAATTAGTCCCATAAATATACAACCAAGAATTATACCTGAAAATATGCATCACTTAACTCAAAATTAGTTAAAATTCACGCATGAAAAGAAAGTATATTATGATGAATAAATTGAAATGGAAAAAATGAATGACTTCTTGAAATATTAAAAAAGAACTTTAAGTGTAATATATGAATTATTATTTGATTTTCATTATTCAATTCAGGAATCTTTTACATATAAACATAATTTCATTAGGATCAAAAATTTTAGCAAGAAAACCTGTTTCATGAAATGCAGCTGGCATAGCTACTATACCACCACCAACCATATCCGCAACAACCATAACGGATGCGACGAACCAACCGTAACCTCGTTCCGGAACTACGAATGTAGATGTAATGCTAACATCTTTCGTCTTATCTTTTCCACTCTCCGTTTGTTGATTATTTTGCATTTCAATATCAGGATTGAATGTTTTAGCAGTTTTTTTCGACGATTCATTGATGACAGAAGTTTTAGCACCTGTTTGTATTCGTACTATATTGCTTGAATCGCCCACCAATCTGCTCATTTTCCACAATTTTTATCTGATCTGAATGCTGAAGTTATAAAAATTGAATTAAAATATTTTTAATTTAAAGGAAAAAAAGATGTATGATAGTAATCATTTCGTTTCACTCATTTGTAACTGTCTACTTCCTAATACTTTTTACAGTCATTGAGTAAAAAATTTGTAATTAAACTTTAAGAATTAAAATTAATCGTAAACTATTCAACTATTAGCTAATCAAAAATATAAACCAATCATAAATGGCTCCTCTTTCAGATATAGCAAGCAATATTTATGTCTCTCAATAAGTACATGTAGTTTAGATCATTCTAATTAGGCGCAAATGTATGTATATCACTTTTACCAGGACAATATGAGCGAATGATATAAGAGTTATTGAAGACAAGTTCTCGAACAGTATCTCATATAATAACTAGGAAAGAACAAAATCAAAATTCATCTGTTCACTTTTCAAAACGGAAACAAAAACAAAACAGAAGAAAAGAAAAAAAAGATTAATTTGGAAATAAAAAGAATTTAAAAAGTTATTTTATGAAGAAAGTATCGAATGAATAGGTCTCAATTGAGAGTAATTTGAAGTTCATTGCCCTAATCATAAAATTGCAGCATGATGATGCAGTATGATTTATTCATAAACATTACTTAACGAAATATTGCAGTAAAAAAGAATTATCATTTCAACTTTTTCATAAAGTAAGATATTTCAATTAATGGACTAATACTTCGGTAGGTATTGTTCAATCTAATCTTTGGTCAAGTTGCTGTTGTCATTAACGGTTTGAATCATTTGCACTTCTCACAGAGATTTGCAGCTGTTGCGGAGAAGTAAAAGAGTATGAAGACGGATTAGTTACTTTGACCTTGACCTTAACATATTTCAAAGAGATAAATAATCAAAGAAGGAAGAATTAAGGTTGGAGCAAAGCGTATATATACGATTAATTGTTCATCCTATTACTTCATAATAATTAGATGAGGATAGAATTGAAGTGCAGATTTTTTCAAGAAAAAAAGATGAAAAAAACCTAAATTTGGAATGAATTAAAAAAAAAAAAAACACTTTATTAAAAAAATAATTAAATATTGGCTAAATAGATATCAATGGAATAATTTACAAATTCACTGCTTTAATCATACAAATGAAAGATACATTACTTGTTAAAAATTACTTATTTAATAAGTAATGTCATTTAAACTTTCTAATCGTTTCGATAGATAATAAAATGATAGTTGTAAAAATTGAAATTGACATTTAAATTTCCTACATACAAATGCACTTCCTATTATTAGTGAAAAGAACAGAAAGTTTACATTTCACTATTTTATGCTAAATATCAAAGGTCAAATTACTACTTAATATCTCTTAAAAGAAAGTATTCCCAAAGGTTCAGTAATATCATGTGACTATTACCGCCCCTCTATACATTCATATTCTTACTAATCAAATTAGCAAAGCACATCTTTTGCAAGCAACTTTAAAACTTGACCTCATCTGCCTCTCTCTCCCTCTCTCTCTCTCTCCCTTTCTCTTCCCGTTTCTGTTCCTTCCTTCTGTTTGAACATCTTACCATAAAATGAAAACGATGAATAATATCTTCTTAAAGATGAACTTTGACTGGCAGATCAATATTAGAAGTTGAAGTATTCACTGAATCACAGCTTCTGATTTTAATGATTATTAGCGCTTCTCTTCCTTTCTGATCACTAATTATCACTGATAATTAGTATTTTTACGAAATTATACAATTTTCTGTAGTTTTCAAAGCCTTTCTCTTCTTTTTTTTTTTTTTTTTTTTTTGACAAAAACGAATCGTTTATTCCATAATAATCGATTTATTCCATAAACAAACAAAAATTTTGTAATTCTTCAATATTCTTTGTACCTAAATATGAACAAATTATTTCATACCTTAATTTCATATAATTTATTATCAAAACGTAAGATAATACTATGCTAATTTTGTTGACAATAACGAATGTATCATTGTTATTAGTTAAATGATGTTAGAAGACTGATCTAATCATAAGAGATTAAATAGCATTTTGTTCAAAATAATTTAAATAGATGTTAATTTAAAAAAAAAAGAAAAAAAAGAAATTAATAATGTAAATTTATCTTAGTATTGTAAACTGCGTCTGCAACATCAGACATCATTTTTTAAATTATTTTTGAATCTTTTGTGTTCTACAAGAAATGAAAGTGCATCTTCTACTTTCAATTGTGCAAAAAATGTAAAATTGAAAATTCAATGAAATTGCTGAATTTCAACATAAAAGTTCAACAGATACCTTACCTTACAGCTCTAAGAAAACATTTCATTAAAAGATTGCATTTTTCAATGTTTTTTTTTTTTTCGAGAAAAAAAATTAACTTGTTTTTTAATTCAAATATTTAATTTTGACATATTATCCAACTTTGATAGTTCTTTTTGTTAGCATTTGCTGTAAATTTTTAACTGTCTTAAAAAGTTCAGTAAATATCCTTTATGAAAGATGATAATAACATTGGAAAGATTAGTAATTAAGTATGGTTTAATTAGCTGATACAATCTAAAGAAGTAAGAAAATGTAGCTTGAACGAGCAAAATTTTCGAACAAATTCATTAATTAAAATGAAATTAGGGAAACAGCCAACATCCACGGAAACTAGTTTCAGCTACTTTTCAGTACAAAATATTTGCGATGTCTAAAAACTTTTTTTTTCCTTTCGTTTTTTTTTTTTTATTTGAAACTTAATATAATATTTTAATCACTGATTAATAATCCAACCGACAAATGTATATTAAATCAGAAAAGTTTGTGTAAAATGGATGTAACATCTGCTCAAAATTACTTCCGTAAGATATGAAATGATTAAATTTATTAATGATAAAAATAAATGTAGTAATAATCTAATCAACAAGAATATAGTACGATCGATCGTTCACACTATCTATCGGTTTGTATTTTCATATTCATTGACATTGCTTGTTTGAATATAATTTTTGCGATGTTATTTGAAATAAAAATTTTGTTTACAACAATAAGAATGATAGAGAAGGACAGGAAGAGAAAAATGGACAGAGAGAGAAAGACTGTCAAAGGTAATTAACTGAAAAGTTCAAAAGTCAATAAAGATAAGAAATTAGAAAACAGGGGTGTAAAGTTGAAAATTCCAAGAAAAGCGAGTAAATGATGTTGATATGTGTTCGTTGGGAGCAGAAAATGGTATTGTTGTTACATTAGTTTAGTGTTGATATTTCCTGAAAGTAATTAATTGAAATTAATTTCTTAATTTAATAATGAAAGTCAATTTCTTAATGGTAATAATTGATAATTGAAATAGCAAGTGATAAGCAATAAATGATAACAAATTAAAAGTGGCAGACAAATTTTAAAAAATATACAAACAAAGGAATCAGGAAATTAATTCATTTCAAACAAAAATAAAACCGATGCAAACCGATGGCTTTCACAAAACTGAAAACATAAGCACAAATTTTCAATACAATTTGAAATGCAGAGTTATTATTATTAACATAATGAATTTGCTATTTGTTTTGTTTTTGTTTTTGTTTTTGATTTTGATTGATTAAATAAAACAGTTTTAACTATATCATCTCTGATACTTTCACTTACACCAAAATTAGCACTTTGTGCCAGTGGAACATGTACATTTCTATGTCACATCAGAAGCAAATTTAAGAAATAGATTGATGAATGAATACTTTTATCAGTTAACTTATCATTACACAAAATTAAGCGTAACATTCATTAATCATTTGTTTTTTGCTTCTTTTTTAAAGATTATCACTCGTTTTTTTTTATCACTAACAGTCTAATTAAATAGGAAATCGATGACCACAAAAAAGTGTGATTTTGGTGCAAGCAAATTTCAATTGAGCAAAAAAGTTGCAACGATATTTCAACGACAGTTGAAAATTTGTCGAGAAAGGCCACCGATACTCTCATTGCAATATGTATCAGTGGTAAATTAAAAGAAAAAAAATGTTACTATCAATCATTTCAATCATTCAAAAAATAAAAATTTATGAATATACTGAGAGATAGATTAAGCTCATTAATAATATTTTTTCTTATTTATGATAAGGTTACAAAAAAGAGCGAAGAAAAAAGAAACAAATGAACAGTTCAATAAAAGTAATAAAATAATAGTACATTAATTGTGGATAGAAGCTATCTTTGGATAAAATATTTTAAATTCTCATAAAAATTATTAATGATGACTAAATGATAAATGTTTACTGATAAATGTTTACTTCTGTGATAACTCTAACTCTAACCACAAACGAGTGAATTAAATAACACAATTGTTATTTATCAATCCTTTATTGCATTTCTTACATATTTGCAATACAAACACTATTCAATATCATTTTGAAACAATTAATTAATAAGTTGAAAAATTGTTTAATTTGATATTTATCCATTTATTCAATTTTTTTTTAAAAAAATATCAGCTAATTAAATGTTAAGGTTTGTATGAGTTGTTAATATAAATCTTGAATCTTTTCTTTAATCATTCTTAAAATGGATATGAAATAAAATTTGCATTTAATTAAAAGCTTTATTTTAAATTCATTGAAGTTATCTTCAAATCATTTTTTTTTACTAACTGATTGAGTCTATGTTAGTTTTCGCCTTCTTTTTACTAACTTCTGAAATAGTTTTAATATTTTCTGATTAACAGAAGCAATTTAGAATTGATGATACTTTTGTCGAGATTTATATACCTGTATAGTTTTAGAATAACTTGCGTTCCTGTCCTGCATTGTTACATTAGTATTAGACATTTTTACTTTTTACACGAACAGTTAAAATTAATTAAAAACTTCAAAAAGGATTCAATGCCACTGAATGTATGAAATTTTCTGTTTTAGTTCTGTCTTGCACATCAAATTAAAATCAATAATTTTCAAATACTAAAATATCTTTTATAATAATCCATTTCTGATTAATGCTTGAAAATAATGTTATTTGAATGAAAAATATTAAAATAT